TGCAAAATCAAATTGTATTTGGTTTTAATGTACATAACAACTTGCTAGCTTTATTCAGCAGACTTCAATATGATAGGTTGGGCACTTCAGTTTCCTAAAGTGCAAATGTACAGGAAATTAACTTAGTAATAATATGTATGCTTTTTGCAATCCACCTTGGTTTTGTTTATGACATTATGGATTTAAAGGTAGAAACACTGTTAAAAGTCTGAGGGAGAAAAATAAGTAACTTGTAAAAAATTCTTCTCTCAAATAAAACCCAATATTTATTTCTAGGCTCAAAAAAGTAGGATTGCTTTCAGAAAGCTAGTTACATTTGTTTTGTGATCCAGGTGCTCTGACATAATTTCAGGACTTAACCTTTTATCTGTCAAGAAGGCAAAAGCTCTTTGTGCCCTGGGAGTCTTCTGCAGGCAGACTTTGTTTTCCCTGATTTCATTCCAGATGTCAGAGAAGTCATTTGTGCTATTGGCAGCTCCATGTGCTATCTGCAGCAGTGGTAGGTTGTTTTTTTTTCCTTTTTTTTTTTTTTCCCCCAACACACAGAGCAACTATGGAGGAAAAAACCCCACCAAACAACCAACAATGCTACTCTTATTTTGATAAGACCAGAAGTCAAAATCTGCGTAACAGGAGCCCAGTGTGTATTCTCTGTAAAAAATGCAGCCTCGCAAAATGGCAGCAGACCAGCAGATGGGCAAACACAGTAGTGTTTATTTGGCATAAAAACCAGATTCTTTTATAATTCTTTGAATTTTCAGTGTTTTATGTTTTAATTTTCATTCCCAGTGTTTCCTGTTCAGGTAAAGGGTAAAAAGGGTAAAAAGAACAGGGAGTAGTACAGGAAGAATGTAACAATAGTTTGTGGGTAATAAATACACAGTCATGAAAAAAGGATGTAATTATCTTCATTGATATTATTAGCATGGAATCTTTTCCAAATGATCAGTGTAATTTTTTGCCACATTTCTCAAAGGTAGAGGTGAATTACTCTTCTCCTTAGCAGTGTGGTAACAGGGACTCTGAGTCATAGCCAGAAATAGAGGCATTTATGTCCCCAATAGGACCTAAGTGGAGTTAGGAAACTTTAGTATTAAACTGTTACATATTTAATGTGTAGGTGCTCCCCTACTCCAAAGGGCTCAGTTGGTACCCCATGTTTTTTGGTCTGCACGTTTGTCAAACTTCTGAAGTTCATCAAATTTCTTAAGATGTGACTCTTCCTGTTTAGAATTTTCTCAGCATTTTGAGGCATTTCTTCTCCAAAGCAAGTGTATGCTGATCATACAGATGCTATTTTGTGTTTATGAAGTTTCCAGAAGGATGGTCTAGAAAATTTAGGTTTGTAATTTGAATGTCAAACTTTGCGGAGGCAGGGATTGTGGCACTCTGAGTGACTCAGAATATTCCTAGAATGACAGAGTTTTCCATAAACAGTTCTAAAAACTGGCAAACCAAAATGGGTGTTTGTGTTTTTTTTTTTTTTATGTAAATAACAAACATCCTCGTTTAGATTTGCTCTTCAGCTGATCTTTAAGATTTATGGCACCCAGCCAATGTGCTGCTCTGAAATGTTGCATGGAGATCTCTTAAAAGAGAAATCATCTATGGTCTGGTTGGCAGAGAGTGCCAGGAGCAGGGAATCTCCATTTACAGTGCTGTAAGGTTGAATGCCTGTACTATAGCAGTGTAGCTAGAATGCTGGTGGCACGAGATGAAAATTTGGAAAACTGTGTTCTGTTTTGACCACGTGTCTTTGCTGTTACTTGAGAAAACTAAAAATTGAAAGAAAGTAAAGGGAAACTCTGGAATTCACTTGAAAAGCTCTTGAGAAAGTTGAGGGACTGACTAGGTGACAATGGTCTGGGATGCAGGGGTGCACAGAGATATATGATATTCTCTGTGTTTGATATTGTGTTATGAAACATCTACACTAATGTAGATGAATCTTTTTTTTGGTCTAAGAATGGGAATCGTGTATGGCAATTGATTCCTGGAGTTGTTTGCTCAGTCGAGGAGCAGGATCTATTCCGTATGTGTCTGTTGTGATTGCTTTGCTCCTTCATGTAATGTGGTACTTTTTTTTTTTTTTATGATTATTAATACTTCATGTAATATATCTTCAAAAGCTACTATAATTTTTTTCCAATTAACTCAGGAGCTGAGAGCTCTTGGGTAGGTTTCTGCCCATCCTTATTTTCCTTTTAAAGTCTGTAATTTCTGTCTTGAGGTTTTCCTTACAGTTTTATCTACAAATTACCTGCTTTTTCTTTGTTTACTAATTTTTGAAGAAGTGTTCATGATTTTCCTCCGTTGATGCTCAAATAATTCTGGAGATTTTTTGAATAGTCAGCTCTCTCTCAGACCTGCCATGTGTTCATACAAGTTCAGAGGCATTTGTCTTTTCATAGTTGCAGTGCTGGATTAAGGTTATCTTACATTGTAAAAAAGCAATTACTTCTCCATCCTCCTGCCTGATGAGGGCTGTCTGTTCTCCCTAGCAAACTCCTAGTGATGAGGAGTTATGTGCATGGAGTCAGTGGTGTCTCCGTGTTCCAAGGAGGGAGTTGGTAAGGTGATTTGCATCCTGGAAACCTGGAAACCTTTGCATTACTCACTCCAGCAGCTGAAGTCCACCAAGGATTAGTCTTGTTAGCACATGAATGGAGGTAGACATCTCCATCCCTATATGCATTCCCTTGAATTTTCTTATAGCGCTCTTCCTAGAAAATGTGAGATTATTCCAAATATTTTGCAATATGTATAGCTTTGTAGTGCTCTCATGTAAGTGCCTGAAATATTCAAATGGTCACATCCATTGATTTTTGGGACATAGTGTTATTATTTTTTTTCAGGAAGCAAATCTGCATTGATAGGGACAAGGGAGGAGCTCTAAGCAATCTGGTCTAGTGGAAGGTGTCCCTGCCCATTTCAGGGAGTTGGAATAAGATGATCTTTAAGGTCCCTTCCAACCCAGGCTATTCTATGATTCTGTAATGATTCTGTGATTCAGGTGGCTAATCTTGGGGAAAAACTGGCATCGTGACTACACAAGCCCTACAGTATGAGTACAGGAAAGTATTACATGGCTTGCATGAAGTTTCTGGAAGGGACTGAAGTTATCCCAGGCCTCCCTACCTTAACTAGTGGTTTCTGTCTAGGTTCTGCAAGAGTTTGGATTTTCCTGGATTTAGTTACTGATAACCTCTGCGGATGTGATGTCTAGGACAGTGCTGCTTGGACAACTGTTTATTGCAGCTGATTTATACTCTTCATGACCTCATGACTCTCGCCTAGTGTCTTGAATCACTTGAGAATAACTAATGCCTCAGCTCTCAGTTCCTACTCAGTTTCGCCTTCAGCCAACTTAATGTTCACCTTCCTTCCCAGCTACAGGAAATGAAGATCTTCTGACATGACATGAGTGCAGATGAGCAGTATGTTTGGTCTGTGGGGAAATAATGTGAACAGAGAGAAATTACAGATAGTAAAAATAGACATGAGTTTCAGGGGTAGTTCTTGTAATTCTTTTTTCCTCTTCAGTTTTAAAGCATATTTAATAGTGTTGCATGGTTTAGTGAAAACTTCCAGAAATTGGCTTGGAGTCATGCAGGCTTTCACTCTCCATGGGACTGGTTGCAGAGTGTGCAGGCGATGCACACAGCAAATTTGCCATAACCCCAGAGGGTATTCATAACAAGGAACAGTATAAAGGGCTGTTGTCCACAAACAGTTAACTGCTGCAAATGAGTTAATGGCGGTTTTTTTAGCACCAATAAAACATTAGAAAGAAAGAGGGGTTTAACGAACTAGAAAATCTACATCATTGTAGAGGGTGATAGGAAACATACAGTATGCTGGCAGTATTCCAAACTTAATTCGGTTTATGTCCTGGATAACTAGATTTGACTCTTCAGTAATAAAAATGTGTGATGCCAGCTACATAGTCCTCTTCAGCAGAGAAAGGATCTGCTGCTTGGGAATACAAATGTTTAAGTGCCAGCGGAGAGAAAAAGGGGTTGCTGTGACTGCTATCTTTCCACACAGGGGTTATTTATTGTCTCTTTTATGGAATTTGCACCACGACAGAATTTAGATGAGTTAATGTGCAGTGTACAATGCACAGTGACTGAAATGTTTATGAAAAACATGACATTGGTGCACTTGTGGTGCCAGGTTTTAATGACTAAAGAGTATGTGTCTGTATGAAGAATTATCAGTGTAAGATTTTAAATATCTACAGTGTGTCGATATTTTTCAGAACATACTCATGTCTTTGTAATGAATGGAGTTAATAAAAATTAATTCTGTTCTTTGTACCTGAGATATTTATTTCTGTTGGAATGACTTACTGTACATATCATCTTCTTTTTGTGTCCAGTTCTTGAATGTAAAAAAAGAGAAAACTTAGTATTTTGGTATTTCATTGGTGGTATTACTGTTTTCTCATTTGATCCCCAGGGATTAGGTTCCTGGGAAGGGAAGAGGGAAGAGATTTCATTAAGCAAAACCAGGGGCAGTTGACTGTTGTTTAAGCCAATTTACTTTACAGTAGGTTTGATTATTAATACATCTGATGTCTGACTTGAGGTTGCTATGGTAAAAGTTACATTTCATAATAGTATCTCCTGATTAGTTTAACTTGGAAATTAGCAGCTTATTTTGGAATGCCTTGTACTCGATGTGTAAAGTGCTACGGTAAGATTTTGAAAATGGATCCATTTTACTCTTCCTTGATTGTAATATGAGTGCAGGGTGGAATGGTACTTCAGAGAGTGCTCAGTTTCGCAGCTTCATGAATATTTCACTGTTTAACTCTTTTTAACACTATGTTAGAATAACAGGAGTACAAAATGCTTTTTAAATAAAATACTTGGTTTAGATTTTAGATAATATTCTGATGTGACTCTATGTCAAATTTGGGAAACAAATTAAAGCGTAACATGCCAGAAGTTGTTCAAGTCTTCCTGAAATAACTTTTTTCTTATTTGTCTTGTTTCATGCAGGCTTTTCTTCACCGAATGATTCAACGTGCTGCTGCCAAAGAGGATAAAAATGTCACAGAAGAGACAGTTAAGGTTAGTATCCTAATTGCATATTTCTTCTGTTTTGTATCTGATATTTCATTTACATATGTTTTATTCTTTTGCAGATGTTGTTTTCAAATATTGAAGATATTCTTGCAGTTCACAAAAACTTCCTGTCCCTGGTGGAGGAGTGTTTACAACCAGAACCTAATGCACATCATGAAGTTGGAACCTGCTTTCTGAATTATGTACGCTATCTTTTATTACAGCCTTGTATTATGTTTTTCCTTTAGTTTTTGTATTTATTAATTGCTGTCATGATGATAAGTGTACATAGTCATGGAGATTAAATTGTGTAATGTAGAGTACTTTGAAGTTACCTCTTAGTTACTGTCATTTCCAATCAAAATAAAAAAAAAAAGGGAGGAGAATGAAGAAGGAACATATCAAATGGGCTAACTTTTGCTGTTTCATAATTTTTATATTCACCAACTTAGTCCGGACTGCCAAACTGAACCCTGCAGCTTGGGCAAAACTTCTGCCTATATGTGAGATGAGGTACAGGATCAGGGTTTCATGAATCAGTAAAAGTAGCACTGTGCTATCTTTTTATTCCCCTTTGATGCTATGCAAAAATGTGAATATTTAACAAAGAATAGCATATGCTGGGTAAAATACCTCCATGGTTCTGGATTATGAAGTTCTTTTGCTTCTGACATCTGCAGTACCTCCACAATTATGTATGCCCTGTAGTAATTGGTTTCTAGGAGTATGATTTTTCCCGTTTGAGCAAAACAAGGATGTTAGTGTTGCAGACCTTTGAAAAATCAGGACAAATTAGTTTTTTTTTGGTTGCAGTCCTAGCAAAACATCTAGGTTTCATTGTTATCTCTGGTTATAATCCCATTTGTTAGTTAAGTTTTTGATTATTCATTGTGGGAGGAGAAAACTATTAATGTTTTGTGGAAACACTTTACAGAAGTTGATTAACATCAGTTTTTAACTCGACAGAAGAGTGGATCATATTTGAAAACAAATGTTTGCAGAGAAATTGGGTAATAATGTCAGCAAATTAGCCACTCACTGTGCATTTTCTTCATGTGTGTTTTATCCTATGTGTTTGTGGTTGTCTAGCCTCTGAAATTTTTCAGCAAAACCATATGAAGTTCAAAGTCTTGCACTTAGGAAAACATAATCCAGGAGTACCACACAGGCTGGGATACACAGGATGATTAGTTGCATCACCAGCAGAGATAAAGAAGTTACTATCATACTCTCCTAAGTGCTTGTCGGGCCGCACCTGGAATACTCTGTTCAGTTTTTGTCCCTGCTGTACAAAAGAGATGTGGACAGTCTGGAGAGGGTCAAGAGAAGAGCCACAGAGATGATCAGAGGACTGGGAAGTCTGCCATATGTCTGTCTGAGAGAACTGGGTTGTTCAGACTTGAGAAAATAAAGGCTTTGGGGAGACTGTATCACTGTGTTCCAGTATTTAAAAAGTGGCTGTGAAAATGGAGACTCCCTTTTTACAGAGTCGCATGGATTGTAGGGGGGATAATGGGTACAAGTTATTTCTGGGGAAATTCCAGTTGGACACAAGAGGAAAACTTTTCACAATGAGAAGAATTTGCTATTGGAATAATCTTCCCAGGGAAGTGGTGGATTCCCCAGCATTGGACACTTCTGAGATTCAGCTGGACATGGTGCTGGGACATCTTGTCTAGACTGTGATTTTGCCAAGAAAGGTTGGACAAGATGATCCTTGAGGTCTATTTCAACCTGGTATTCTATGAATCTATGATTGAAATTCTCAAATAGTGCTTCCAGACTGTTCATAATTCTAATTTGAGACTAGACCTCAAATAATGAATGTAGGAAGACGAGCTGGCATTCTAGAGTGACGACTATATTAGCTATTCAACACTGAAAAGTGTTGGTGCCATATTTTATTAATTAAAAAAAAAGTATCAAAATTACAAGTGAAAAACAATGTCTTTTTTTGTTTCTGCAGAAAGAGAAATTCCGTATCTACGATGAATACTGTAGTAACCACGAGAAGGCACAGAAAGTTCTGCTTGACCTGAACAAAATAAGAACAGTGCGGACTTTTCTTTTGGTAAATAAACTTGGAATCGGTATTCTAGCCTCCTATGTTTTGGGTGGGCAGTGAATCGTTAGCGCTGTCACCTCCACCATGCTACAAGTACAGGCACACCTGCAAGTGGTTAGCAGACAGTTTTAGATGTGGGTAATGTTTCCAGAAGAAGGGCGTGTGTACACCATATTTTCACTACTGCACTTGGATGTGTGGGTAATACAGCATTAGGCAATGTGCCTTGAACATGCTGGCCAGGAGACAAGGGTGTGAATCTGTAGAAAGGAAAAAGAATAGGAGAAGATATGTGAGGACGGATAGGGAAAGGAGTTACGGAAAGGAAGCTGAAGGACTCGTCAGAACTTCTAAAGAGAAGATCCACGTTTTGTTGCAGAGAGGCAAATGTTTTATGATGGATCATAGAGTAGCCATCCTGATCTTAGACACTAACTTAATCTGAAGTTGAAAGATACAGCTACACAGTTTGTCTTTCACTTTGTAAGACCGATAAGGAGAAGTTATAAAATGTTAAGTATGACACTCCTCATGGATTTTCAACACAAAGCCAATTTCCATGTAAATACTGAGTTTGTTAATAGTTGACATTAGTTGTTAAAAGACAGATTCAGTGTGCAATGAGTTTTGTGTTTCTTCTGGGGGGTCCTGTAGGAACAAGATTAGCTTTAAAATGTGGAGCTTACTATATTGGAACTTAAACACCTGAAAAGGTGCCCATGAATATGCTATCAGATTTTGGAGGGATCAGATTTGATGATTATTTGAGACTGGAGAGCAAATGACTTTATCAGCAGAGCAACACAGATATGTTTAAAAAAAAAGATTCTGCCAATGCTAGCAGTATCATAAGTTTTATTTAATTTTAATAATTATTTTTAACATGTAGTAGGGTTTCGCTACGGCTGTTGACAAAGTTCATGATGAGGTTGTCCTGTTGCAGCTCCCTAATTTTTTGAAAAATGTCAGCTCTGACTCCATAGCTGCACTTACAGCCAAGTTAATGAACAGTGCGTGAATTTCCTTATTGTGGAGAGTACTGGGTGACATGAAGTACCATATCCCGTTTTATTGAGAATCTCCAATTCAGCCGTGTTCCATTCGTAGTTAAAAGGAGCTTCAAAGTTGCCCTTTTTTTTTTTTTGTCAGTGGTTGACACAATACCCTTCACCTTGCCCCAGATTGAGGGGCTTCATACACATGGTTCTTGTACTGGGAGCAGCATGGCCAGACTCAAGAAGAAAGGGTAAATGCTGACCGCAGAGTTGTGTGTTTTCTCCATTTGTGGAGAAATACTGCAAAGACCTTGTTTTGTGAGAAAGGAAGCTCAGTGTGCACTTGCGGCAGTCAGTGTCGTGTATTTTTGGGCACATGCAAAGGGATTTCACTTCTGTTTTGGGTTCCTCTTAGATTTGGGACTTGTCTGTAGGATTAGGTGGCAGCGGTCTAACCTAGAAAACAAGATACCTGACTCTGCAATTTGAAAATACAGTCAAAGCCTTCTAGCCAGATGGAACAGTTCAGGTCATTAGATATGTGGGTATCTATAAATAATTTTGTGTCTTTGAATATAGTGACATTCTATAAACCTGTAGTCTGCATTGCCATTATCTTACTTTATCAGTAGAGCTTTTGCATTGGGAGATTAAGCAAGATCCTTTAGGATAAGGGGTCCTTTAGGCTGAGACAAAAGCTGGTTAACCGTGAGCACAAAGCAGAGACTTCAGGGTGGGTGTGGAGACCCCCATGGCAGCACTGGGGATAGGGTATGTGTGTTATGTGCTGAGTAGGGCAGCCACCCAGTTTTGTTGCCTCTATTCCATCAACAATGTGTCTGCATCCAGATTTGTGGCTTGTGTCAGCATACCATCTGGCTGTCTTAAACTGCTGTTGTTTAGTGTCCTCAGTTTGGACAACTTGCTCTTTGAAGCTGTAGATTATCTCATAGCATTGCATCACAATTCCTTCTGATCTCTCCATAAAGTAATTGTCATTATTACTCTAGGTCTTTATGTACTTACACTTTAATTCCAGCAATTCCAAGAATTTGCTGTGATGTCCCTTGCATGTTTTCTTATCCCAAAAAGCCCTTATTCTTTTCTCTCTCTCAGCTGCATTTTCATGGATGCTTCCACCCAGTATTTCATTTACTCTCTGCTTCCATAATCAGACGTCTTGCTGAAACTTTAATAGACTTTTGCCGATGACTTAAGGATAATTTATTCATTGCATATCACATTTTAGAGCTGTATGTTAGGATGACCACGTTCAAATCTTCAAACCACCTTTGATGCTAGTCAACATAGCAAACGCTTTTTAGAAACAACACCACCTATAGTGGTCATCCTGAATTATTTTTATTTTTGCTTGTTGAAGGTTAAAAGCATATTTTGAGCATTTTATTTACTGTCTTTTAAAGTTCAAAAAAAAGCACCCTCTCTTCGTCAGACTAGATGAGGAAGGTACCTAGAGAGATGTCTGAATAATGTTGTGACTTTCTTGTTGTGTATGATAGTCAGTGTACCCACCTATGTATGTGTTCAAGCCTGTACTTTTGACAGTACTGCAAATCTCCCTCCTTGCATATACATATATAATTTATGTATAGTTTAGCCAGTATTGCTGTACACATGTGCCCTTGTCTTTATTTCTGATAACATTTTTGGGATTTTTTCAAATATTTGTGAAACTGTTCCCGCCCCAGAATTGCATGCTCCTTGGAGGACGCAAGAACACAGACGTACCATTGGAAGGATATCTAGTAACGCCAATACAGAGAATATGCAAGTATCCCCTTCTTTTGAAGGTACTTACAAGTTTTTTATTTAGGACTTTATACTTCCTGTATAAAACTGGTTGCTAAGCATGTTTCCGAACTCCAGGAACAATCTCTTTACACAGTGATCTATCTCTTTATTAAGATGTTGGACCCAGACTGTCATTAAAGCTAGTGGCAAGTCTTCTGACAGCAGTAATAAAAGAACCGAGGAATTTGGCTGGATCAAAATGATTAGCTCCTTTCTGCATCTAGCTGTAAGGTGGCCTCTCCGTGGTTGAACAGAAGAAAGCCATTTGAGAGAGTTTAATGAGTTTAATTTCAGCTGTATTTGACCATGCCCTTGCTTAAAATGCTTGGGATAGCAGAGTTTGTTGGTGATATACTGACGTGCTTTGATGATGCTAATTTCCATCAGCAAACTGTAAATGAAAAATTCGTTTTGTAAGAAAACCTGTAGAGTAACACAAAGGTGCTGTAGATGGTTTTATGATCAGTTATATGTTTATTCTTATCATATTGTGACAAAACAATGAAAAATATCAAATGTGGTGATAAATATTAGGTAGTGAAACCTCTGAGTTTGTAATTTATCATGTTAAGAAATAAAATAATACAGGAAAGTAATATTCAGAACAAATTTTTGCTTAACAAATTAAGGTCTAATATGGTTTATTGTTCCAAACTATGAGAGGAAAGCCAGAGCAGATTCTGCTCTAGAAGCTACTGGAGACATGATTATTGGATAGTATTTTTCACAGTGCCTGTGTGAGTTTAGATATGAAAGATTGCCAATTTTGAAGACATATGACATAAAAAAGTCTAAAAACAAACATGTTAAAATAAAGGTTTTAAAAATAGGTTAAAGAATATAATAGTTGCAATGAGGTGTGAGTCATCCCAGATGTCTCTGACTTTATAGTTCCCTTGGTCTATTTTAAAATGATTTTTCTCTTCTGTTTTTTGAGTGAAGGCTCTACAGACAAAACAGGGGAAAATGACTAATGAATTATTCTATGAGGCAATAAAATGAATATATTTATGTTAAATAAATTTAAATACAGGGTGTGGTGGCAGCAGGGTTAGGGCTCCAGAGGATTGTTACCCACACGTCAGTCAGGGTATGTACTGAAGGCTGCACTGAGTCAGTCCAGCTGTATATGGGTAGTTGATAGCTTGAGATGGGAAATCTCAAGTGAATGCTTGCAACTCTGCTTTTGTTTATCACTATGGCTTCCAGTACCAGTAACCATCTGAAATCAGTGAGTCACCTAAGCTGTTGTTCTGTGCTTTGCTGTATTGTATATTGCAGTAGATTAAACAATAGCGTGGAGCTAAAGGAATGGAGTTTTTTGCCCTGAGTTGCAGGAAAGGCAGGTGTTAATTTTGACATGAGTAAAACTAACGTTTTTTAAGCGGAGCTGTTATCCTTGCTGTTCGACAGTTCCATCCTGGGGAATACTAAAGCAAACTAACAATAACCCCGCCTAAAATGCAGAGCTCGACATGAAAAAACATTGTTGGGGAAGAAAGTAGCTGAAATGCAAACTTCTTCCTAGGTCATGATGATTATTTATTGTTAGTAATTAAATACCCTTTTAGTACACACAGTGCTAGAGGTTTTACTCTTTTTCCACCTAGTAAAAGAGGAGCATGGCTACTTTTTTATTTTGTATGCTGGTTGATTTAAGTCTCCTGTAATATACATTTAGAGATCAAAGACAGGTTTCTTTTCCCTTTTCTTTTTTTTTCTTTTTTTTTTTTCTCTTTTTTTTGTTTTGTTTTTTAATGTCTAAATAGGAATTACTGAAGCGGACTCCAAGGAAGCACAGTGACTATGCGGCTCTAATGGAAGCCCTCCAGGCCATGAAGGCTGTCTGTTCCAACATAAACGAAGCCAAAAGACAAATGGAAAAATTAGAGTTTTTGGAAGAATGGCAGTCTCACGTTGAAGGATGGGAGGTACTGTCATAATGTTTGTTGCTGTGTATGTTGAGGAGGGAGTAACAGCTTTCAACAAGTATGTATTATACTGTTTTTGCGATCCTGAGGTACTATCAACTCCTTTGCTCTGTGAAATCACAGTTTTTATTTGAGGTCTGCTCTGTAAATGAAGTGTTGTCCTTGACAGAGCACTGCTGTATAAAATAACAGACTTCCAGGAAGGAGCTTAATTATTTAGCATTTGCCTTGGAGTATCAATTGTCTATGTACACATCTATGTGTACATGCATACACATCTATAAATCCTATCTGATTTTACTGCTGTTTATACCTGTCTAGCAGCACTTTGGTTGAAAAAATTTTTGATTATTTATTGATGGTGCATAAGTTTTTGTCAGGTTGTAGGTAGTCCCTTACTGCTGAGTGAGCTAAAGTAATGTAAACATGTTCAATAGAATGTGTGTAAGACTTATGTTTTTTTTCAAGAATTTGCAAATGAAAGAACATTAATGCTCCAGCAATCTCTTGTGAAGTAAGGTCTTCGCAAAGTAAGTCTGTTTCTGAGTTAGAATTTTCAGTAGTAAACAGAGATTCAGCCTTTCCCAAAGAAAACAACAAGATCAAGTACTTGTAGCACCAAAATCTTCCCTTTCTATTATTTTGAGAATGTATCTTTAAATTGTCCTAGGTGTTTTGTATTGAAGTGTCTGAGCTGTCTGCACTGGCGTAGGAGGGAAACACAAGTGAAATTCCTTAAAAAAACCCCGTAAAGTAAACATTCAAAACTGACTTTTAAAAAAAACGATACACAGGTTTTCTTAAAGCAACAGATTTCAACTTGGAAATAGTTTTTTGCTTTTCTGAATACTTTGCTCGAATATGCTACTGTTCTTCCTAAGAAAGCTGCTTGAGAACTAGAGGAAGAGGTTTTTATCTCTTTAAGTTTTGTGGGAGGTTTGCAGGCTAGGATATATAGCAAGAAAAATGTATTTGTTGCATGTTAGTCTGGTTGCTGAAAGACTGGGTCTCAGTCTATGCAGTGGGAAATGGCCTTTGTACAGAGCAGAGAAAAGAAAGGGTTAGGGACACTGATGGGACATGGAATCAGAGAAAGTCTTGAGGTGGACCTGGATGGATGTTAACTGATGGAGTTCCCCGAGAAGTTTGAAAAATAAAAATTAGAATATTGACTAGAAGAGTCAACTTTCAAGTAGATATTCATAGTAACATCTAAAAAAAACAGAAACAAGAAATAGTTTCTACACAGCTTAGTTTGTTCTCTACACCTCCTACTTACTATACCTCCTGTTTCTCGGACTTGCTGTGCCTAAGGATGTGCTCTGCTTCTGCGACAGTGGATTTAATTGCTGTCATCTAGGAGGATTCAGCAGAACAAGCCACTATCTGAAGGGAGTATAGACCTGAACAAAGACCCCCTAAATATTGCTCATGGCACTGCAAAATTATTTCCTGTCTACTCCATGTGAAATCTCCTGATAGCGGACTCAGGCAAACCTTTGGTTTGTTGTTAGTTGAGTAGTGTGGGAAGATTTGGTTCATTCTAAATGTGGATTAAGAGACTGATTTTACTTAAGTCAGAATTCGTGTTTCTTCAGTGCATTATGAGATTTGAAATGTTTCACCTAAGGGTTTTTTCCTTATTTTGTGTACAAGCATTTTCAAGAACTACATTTCTGGTAAATCATCTCATGCTGGATTTCAGGGCACTGTAATCAGGATGATCATTATGAAATACCACTAAAATTCACTGTGCTGAGTGAGAAGGAATTTTAGCAAGTACAAAAGCTATATAATTGCTACTCAGTATTCAGACAAATCTTTCTGCATTTATTTTTAATCCTCAGTCTGAAATAAAATAGAATTAAAAAAATTCAAGACAAATGACAGTGTGTAGTCATGCCATGGTATTGTTTGTAGGATTTTGAAAAAGAAAGGACTAAGATTAAGTAAACCTCTCAATGTTGTGGTTGAAGGGAGCTCTAGTTGACCTCACATACCAGCTGCTTGATTAGGTGAAAATAAGTTTCTTCTTGTAATTGAACTTGCTGTCATCAGCAGTCACTTGGAAAGGTTAGTGTATCTGAACATTAAAATGCAATGGATGTGTTTGTGTGATAACTTCATGATATAAGCAATAGCAAGTTAAGTGCTTATGTTGCTGAATATTTTAGGGCAACAAAATGTATTAAATAATCCTTATTGCCTATCACTGCTTTACTCCTTCAATTATTTTCAACTTTTCAATTGAGTTTTCTACTGCACTATAGTGGCTAAAATTCTTCTGCTTGCTTCCAGTGCCTGAGTCATAGATAGTTGTCAAATCTCTTTAATGAATACACTCAAGTATAATGTATTATTAACTCAGTGCATTATTACTCATATAAGTTGGCTGAGAACTTACTGTTCTCGAACCTCTGTCACTGAAAAGGGAATCCACTTTCCTACATTAAGTTTCTTCTTAATCCTTGGTCAAAAATATAGCAGTAAATAGGTTTTTCTTTTCAGAAATATGTTAATGAGCAAAGTTACCAAGAAAGAAGAAAGGGTAAAAATATGGACATTAGCATCTGAAACAAAGAGTTACTGTCTCTGTGCTCAGAATGTATTCTCTGAACTGTAACATAGTAATTTCATACCGACATCGGATGGTTTTTTTTCTTCTTCTTTTTTTTTTTTCTCTCCCCCCCTCCTCCAAGATTTCATTTTAGGATTTCACTTGTGCTTGAACTCTGAAATAGTGCCATTGTCTTAAAAGAGTGTTTTTGGTAGAGTTTTATGGTGTTTATTGTATTTTAGCTGATCAGGTTTGCCGTTACCATATGGCAACCACAGGGTGTGCAATCTGGCAAAACTGCCTTGATCTTAATATGTGCATCCTTTTCAGACACAGCATAAGGTTAGTCCTTGAAATGGTAAGAATTTCAGAGCATGTATAAGAGCAAACAGTATTTTGAATGATTCCCAACAACAACTAAAAAAAAAAAAATCCCTGAATGCAATGTTTGAGAATGGATTTAATTAAATAAACATCTGGTTTTCTGCGTCGCCTAAAATAAAGAGGCAAACTTGTTGGAGATTTCCTTCCAGAAGGAAATGCTTAGCACATTGCTTGGCCCTAACTAGAAGGAAAGGGAAAAAAATAAAGACTATTTTTAGAATTTGATCAAAGCATGACTTGAATTCCTATACTTAAGTGTCATAAAATGAAGCTTGTGTTTATTATGATAAAAATACAGATTCATGGAAAAGATGGAACATCTGTTTCAAGAAAGAAAATTTTGAGTATAATGACTTTCTCACTTAATTTCCTAAGTGGTTAGATTTATTGGCCTGAATTCAGAACTTGTGTAGGTGGCTGTCTCAGCTGGAGAATGGCTCAGCAGCTGAAGGAGTCTGTCAGTAAAATTTGTGTGGATGTTTCAGTGAGAGAACAAAAAGTAAAATTGTTGCATTTGTTGTAAGCTGGAAGCTGAACAACCCAGTCTGAGTCACAGGCCAACTTAGTGAAAGTAACATGGGGTATTCTGTTCCTTTCCATTTCAACATATCATCAGTAGTATTTTACTAGAGATTTCTGTTTTTAAACTCCACAACTTCAAGCCCTTTTATCTGCTTTATTTTTTTTTTTTAACTTGCCCATGTGCAAGTACTGAACGGTAAGTTAGTATCTGTCTGTAATTTCTGACCCTTATCACTGTTAACTAGCCACTGAATCAGTATGGTCAAACCTCTATATTTGACTGAAATTTTCCCAGAATATATAGATGAAAAGCTTTTTGTAACAAATAATACCAACCAATGCTGCTTTTAATCTCAGGGTAATAAAGATAATTTTTTAATGTTAAAGATGGATTCTTAATGATTTAAGGAAGGGGGGAGGCATTGTTTTAAATTTCTTGAAAGTAGTCCCTCTCCTTCCAATGTATTTTAAATGTATTTATTTTTCAATTTGGTCTTGATAGTCCACATTTCAGACCTCTCACCTAATCTGTTTCTTTTAGTTGGAATGATAGGTATCTGGCTGAGAGCCAAAGGTGATTAGAGGCCGTATATATATACCTTAGTATTGTATATTTATACTTAAATAATCTACAGGCTTCGAGATCGTACAGATTTTCAATTTCCACACCAGCTATTCTGAAAATCCGCAACGGTCACTGACCCCAGTGCTACCCACAGGAGAGGATTGCTTTACAGTCTTCAGTGACCCATTAGGATAGATAGAGGAAAACCTAGTCTAGATTCACAATATAAGCCTGCTTTTAGGTCATTTTTTCTCCCCCAACTGAATCCTTTATAAGTTTTGTTTCTATAATACATGGTGTTTTCAAATCAACATATTACAGAAATGCTGATTTCACTGAAAATATCCCATCAGCTCTAATTGCAGATATTTTAAATGTATAGAAACACGAATAGCATAGCAATGAAGATTTTATATTTAGGCTGAGCAATGGTATCATCTTCACTTACAAGCAATGGGTATAAATGCCTGTGAAAACTTTGACATAGCAAATTACTTTTCAGGTTCAAATTGCTCGTATTTAAAATTTCCCTGGTAGTTTCAATTCAGACACTTAATGAAAACATAGTTGAGTTAGAAGGTTTTGGTAATATTTATTCCAAAAGTACTGCTTGTAGATAGTGTTGTTTAGTTTTAGTGGTGCAGCAGATAGACTCACCTGCTTCTGGCTCAAGGGTGATCTCTCATCTGTTACTTCAGCCTTCAGCCTTCCCCCTGAGAGGAACAGCTCGAGTTGGATTAAATGAATTATCCCGCTGGGCTGGATATCAAATGCGGATTGGTGTTCCCGCTGAGAACCCATGTGAAGGTTTAAAGAGTAGCTACATCCTTTATGGAAACTTGCTGTAGTTGTCAGTCCTCCTTCGAATTACATGGTGGATATGGCAGTGCTTGTCTGTACGCTCTGCCTCGTTCTTCTTCAGGCATGTTTTTCATATCCAAGGGATATGGTGGAGAGGAATGTTCACCCCAGGTGTAGAAACAGCAATGCTTTCACATGATACGCCCTTCCTTTTTTCTTCATTTCATCTCCATGCCCACTGAAAGTCCAGGAAAAGGCAAACCCTAAGTATTACTAAGACAAGGGAGTGACAGGGGATTTTTATGCACTACCAGTGTTACGTAGGACAGCCAGGTGTGACTTCTGATTTTGTTACCTTATTCCTTTGGAATAAAAATTAAAAAGCAATAACAAAATTCACTGATCTGCAGCCACACCAGCCTGGGTTGTGATCCTGTCAGAAGGTATCCGATAAGTGATGTTAACACTGTTCAGTATTTGAATGGGAGATCTCCAAGGGAAAAAAGTATCCCTAGAATGTAATTTTCTTCGTCTAGCAGTTTATATTACAGAAGGAAGAAAATTAAGAGGAAAACAAAAGGAAAGGGGAGTAATGTGATACAGATAACGCTGCTGTATTAAAACATTGAACTTGAATCATAAATGAGAAGAACCTTAATAAGTCAGGTAGCCTGAATTATATATATTTAAAATACATATAAATATGTTATTTTATGACCTGTTGTACAGTAGCCGATATTGCTAGGACTGTTGGGAAAAGGCGGTATTTTTCTACACTGAAAATGAAATTTTTTCAATAAGAAGAGACAAAATGTTTTTATAAAACCCTTTCTGTGAAAAAACCACCCTTTTGTAGAAAGCTGAAGCTGCTAGTACAATTTTGAAGCCTTAAGCTGATTTTTTTGGCTTCCTTACAAAACAATACCATTTTTCAGCAAAGCTTAAGTTTTCTCCAAAAACAAACCAAAACTCCCTAAAAAGTATCCAGCCTTTTAAGATGCATATTGTTAGTAAGTACTGTTCCAGCAAATTTGAAACTCAGACTAAGATATTGCTTACTCTTTTTAATACACAAGTGTGATGAAATAGAATGTAAAAAAATTTGCTTGCTTTTCTGTAATTGTGTTCAGCGAGCATTATGTGCAGCCGTAATTTATGCTTAATTTATATTACTGAGTGTGCTTTTAAGATGTTTCAGTATTTGATTTCAAATAAAACTGTAAAATTAGTATACCAGTTTCTGGTACTGATGCTGTCTTAGGAAGGGAAATATGCTGCAGTGGCTATAGATGACATTAATTTTTGGCTTGTTTGATCCTAAATGGAAACAGGAGCGGTTGGTTAATACTGAAGGTGCCTTACTTAGAGTGCTGAATTGTGTTCCAGTGTGGTGGTTGCACAATCCCACTTATCAGCTCTGTAAACAGACTGCTTTCTCCTTAGAACAGTCTGAGGGATTGCTCAATATTCACTGCTGTGACGTATTAAGCATAAACAGTAAGATGAAGAACTGTGAGAGCAGAATGCGTGATTCCTTCTTAGCTCTTAATTAAATCCATTTTTTTTTGGACTACTGTGGTTAGATCAAGAAGAGGAAGTAACTACAGCTATTGCATGCATGGAGAATTGAATTCAGAACATGTGTAGCTGACAGGGAAGTCCTGGCTTTTGCAGGTTTTCCAAGCTAACTGTTGACTGCCTCAAGTCAGGAAACTCTTCAAACCATGGGTGTATGCTTGATGCATAATTATCAATAGGATTGCATGTCTGGATGCATGTAGCACATGGACAGCAGCTCTGTCCCAGAGGAGCATGGATTTTTCAGACTAGCAAAACACACCTCTGAATTCAAGGTAGTCTTCTGGAGAGATAGATTTCTCGTTATAAGACATGAAAGTGTCATGAATTTTTCATATAAATATGTTGTGGAAATGTTTTCCTTTGTTAAAGTTCCTTCTTTTTGATTAACTTCTATGAAAACACCTCACTTCTTTTCACATGAAAGAATTTTCTCTCCTGAGGCAAAAATGAGGCATGGAAAGTTTCATCTGAAACATGTAAAGCTTAGCAAAATTCTGATGTCTTCAGAATATGTTAGGAGGAAATATAGTAGACAGTCCTAGCTGTACAAGCCGCCATTAGCCTTGCCCAATTTTTATATCTTGCTGTCTTTTTGATTTTGTGTTTAGCTTAGTCTACTGTAGAAGTATATACCCTTGATAATCTTCAAGTCCCAGGTCCCTTCAGCTTCCAAGTTCATTGTGGCAGAGATGGTGTCTTGTAAGATATTTCTGAGTAAAGTTACTGAGATTAAGAGTTATTGGATAAAGTTGGTCTGATTTTCAGATGTCTCTGCATAGAAGTAATATAATTTGGAAACTTTTGGTCATTAAACTGTATTTATTCAAAAAAGCCACCCCCCCCACCACCACCACTATTACATGAATACAAAGCTGGTGTTAAGCATCATTAGAAATTACCGTATAATTACAATGCAATAAATTGCCATGAGTTTTATTCTTAGAGTTTCCAGAGATTTGTTGTGGTTGTGAGTTTGTATAAGAAAATTTTCCTTAATTAATGCAAAGCAGAGTACTTCAGTTCTCACAGAAAAATTAAAAAAATGTCTTTCCAATTGATTTTAGGGGTCTAACATTACAGACACGTGCACAGAAATGCTACGAAGTGGACTACTACTGAAAATTTCAGCAGGAAATATCCAAGAGAGGATATTTTTCCTTTTTGATAACCTCTTGGTCTACTGCAAAAAAAAGCACAGGTAAATGATTACTTTCAAAAATAATGTATTTTTCTCACAGTAAAACTAATTACGTGTATACTGTTCCATTAGAACTGCAGTATAAAAGGTTGTGGTTTTAGAGGAGACTTATCCACCAAAGTGTATTTGATTCAAGCATTGAAAACATTTTTTATGAATGCAAAATCCTAATGGTGAAGTGCAGGGAGAAACAATCTGTTTTGTCAGCCTTCCACAGCGGGTTATGTGTGATGGCCTCACTTGCTTCTAGGAAGGGTAAACAGGCTGAATTTTTAGTTTAAACAAGTCATGTAGCTTGTGCAATAAAATAAGTCTCTACAGATTGAAGAGTTTCAGGCTGTGTATTTGTAATCAGGAAAAAGAGCCAGAAAGCTGCTGCTTGCTGCGTGTCAAGGAGCAGTTCCTCAGTTGAGCAAAAAGCTTATGCAGGTAATGTTCTGTTCTCTAATTCTTCTGAGAAGTAAGGGTTCTCCTACAAACAGACATCCCTCTTGGTGCTCAAGTTTGTCTCTTTGATCCAGAAATTGGTTTTGACAAATATGTATTACTGGGTAGACCTTTGATAGATTCCTGGATACATGGATACATACTCTTTTCTGAATTTATAGTTTTTACTGTATTTTATTGTCCAGCAGTTACTGAGTATATATTATCTTTTCAATTTTCCTCCACTCAGTTGCATATTTTTGTAGCTATGTTCTAGCTAAAATGCAATTCTGGATGAAAATCTCAAAACCATAAAAGGTCGTCTATGGTTTCTTCAGTTTTAAGCAATCATATCTGAAATGTCATTGGCTGGTACCATAGTGATGTGTCTGCAAACGCAAGAATAATTCAGTTTAGAACATAATTTCAGAATTTAAGGTGGGAAATGAATTGATTATATGCCAGCAAGATACTTTGAATATTGCTTGGCAAGTAGTTAAAGGGAGTGTTGCTCATAGGAGTTTTGCACTTTGATAATTTTACAAAAATTGTCCTATCTTTATGGTATGAAATATTTTATGTAATTTTTAAGCATCCTTGTGCAGCAGAGTTGTGTAAATGTGGATTTCTATATTTGGGGTCACAGTTATAAAGGTCACTAAAACTATTGGATTTACCTGACTTTGGAGAGAAAAAAATGTATGATACTGAACCTTTATGCTTGCTGCTGGTTTTGCTGGTTTTGGTTTGTTTGTTGTTTTTAATCTATTATTCAATTTTTGAATAAGACATTTTTAGTGTGGTAGAGTTATTCATTAGACAGTAGTGAATTAATGAATTCTCAGTAAAGACTGAGAAGCAGGTGAAGATTAGTTCCTCTTTAGGGTGAGTGAAGGTTAAAATTCAGGTGATCATTAATTCTTAGAAGCTGACTTTTGGTTGATATACAATATTAATTATCATTATAGGAAAAAAAGGACAGAAAATAATCCCTGGCTAATTTGAGGTGGGAAAAGCTGTCTAGAACTGGGGTTCTCTAAATGCCTTGACTTCACTGGGAACAGAGTTACAGCAATGCAAAGTGCTTTGGAATATATTGCAGTGAAACTGCCATAAAATTTCAGCAATGGTAATTACAATTCTTGGTTAATCCTTACATTAGATAGGACGAATGTTGACTTCATCCTTCCATACCTAAGTCCCACTTAGAAGGCTAATGTATGTAGGTCAAAATTTATAACCAAAGATGTTCTTATTTCATTTTCCTCAAACTACCCTTGTGCTGAACTTCTGGACTAACATGAGAAGACTACATCAGTCAGGAGGAAAGGTTTTCCCAATCAATTATTTTGTCTTTGGTGGCAGACAATGACATATAGAAGCCAAAGTGCTGGAACAGAGCTTTTCCAGAGTGACGCTTTCCTGATGAACTCTCATTCAGCCAGCATTTGGGACCTTCCTCTTACCAGCAGTAGCACCTTTGCATTATCAACAGCAGTGTCCTGTTCAGCAATGGTTTCCACTGTTCAATTGCCCGTGTATAAATGTACCATGATTCTTACCATGGTCTTTAAATGCCACATGTTCAGTTAGCAGTGCAGAAATGTAGAAGAAGGTGGTGGATGACGTGCTCACATGTGCTCTGTCTTTAATCAGGCGATTGAAGAACAGCAAAACATCTACAGATGGCCACCGTTACCTGTTTCGAGGCAGAATAAACACAGAAGTGATGGAAGTAGAGAATGTAGATGATGGAACAGGTGAGTGTATTTGTGTTGCTCATTTGCAACTAGATGATTTCTTTGGGAATTGACGGTGCTCCTTGTATTTAGAAAGAAAGAGTAAGATACCCTTTCTATTCGTATCAAAATTCTGCTTCTGTTGAGTGGATGACAGCAATGTCATCCATTATTAGCTGGTTGGTCATGGATGACTATTTTATGCTAACATGAACAGAGTAATAAAATACAGTGGAATTTATTGCTCAGCTGAAATTGCATATTTAACTTCACAGCATTTCAGCACTCTTAAAGAACTTATCTCTAAGTATGTGGTATATTTATAAAAGCAAATGGAAGACTTACCTCTGTTGGAATGAAACCTCAAACACTATAAATGCTGAAATTATGACATAAGAAAGTTTTTTTTTTAAATATCTTTAGCACTGTAATCTGTATGATTGCTTGAAATTTTCCTGACATACATGAATAAAGTGAAAAAAACAAAGTATTCCTACACGTATCAATTTTTGTTTTAGAAACTTGAGTTGAACCTTTGAGTTTAACAATTACTAACTTTCCTTACAATTAATAAATAAAACCTGAAACATTTTGGGCTTTTGTCATTAACCCTCAATTTTACAAAGGAATTACATTAAACGTGATTGGAATTCATAACTGAAGTGTCTAGACCTGAAACTCCGCTGGTGCCAAGTAGGACAGAAGAATTACTGTAATGCTGCAATGAGGGATGTCTATTACTAATCCCAGGATTATTTGGCTTTTCTGAGAACATTATTTTTCAATTTTCTAGTTTGTGTTCCAGAATACCACAGCAGAGCCTTCTGTGCAGTAGTGGTGCCCATTCCATTGTATTTTATACTGGGTTAATGTCTGAGAATAGGTCCAATTAAGTACCTTCTTTTCTGTGCTGAGTTTTATCTTACTACTTCTACAATATATTAAGCATTCAGAGTTTGTATCTCGTTCCCTAAAGCTTTTGCAATGCTTCTTTTCTTAGTTCCATGAACAAACAATGTTATTACTGAACCATTTAAGGTCTTGGTAAAAACAGTGGAAAATGCTGAACATAAGGTAGAGCACTATGGTGTCACACTTGATTCATTACCTATGCTTACCAGACGTTTTTTGTAAGAACTCCTTGACATCTGTTTTGGGCTATGTCCTTCACCAGACCCGCCAATTTAGTTAGTGATTTCAAGTTATCCATAGGTACATTGTAGGGAGTTTCTTCAAGCCTCATTGACTTGAATATAATTTATTCAATATTCTATATCCTGCTATTTGCCTTTTCTGGCCTATATTCCTGCCCAGTTTTTGGCTTTATTTGTTTAACATCTCAGTAATTTGTTTATGCAAAAAAGAGAGTTGATTGTTTCCCTCTTTCTTGTTGTGTATTATTTGAATCTCTTTAATGTATTTTTTTTTCATCTTCCTTATATATGCTTTAGAAATAAAAGGCAGTTTCCCTGCTTGCATTATGTCACTTTCTAAGACAGCATCTCTTTACTTGTAACTCTTGATGTTACTGTGGCCACAGAGGCTTATACCCATCATCTTTTTCCTGAAGAATATTCCGAGAATTCTGTAACTATTCTTCTTTCACTGATTTCAACCTCCATATTGCCACATTTTTAATGTTGGTTTTAAAAAATGTTTCTTTGATCTTCTCTCCATGACTATCCTGTATTTCTCAAATCTGTCCTACATTTACTTGTTTTAGCTATCCAGTCCTTAATCTCTTTCACACTGCTCATTTTCCTTCCTGCCCATTTGTTTTCTTCCTTGATGAATCATCAGTATAATTTGCCTAAGCACAAGTAGTCTTCCTCTACACTCCAGACATCAGGAGTATAATTTCCTCCAGCCACAGGAAATTTTGCTACTGTCCCCATTTCCTATAGCTTTGCACACAGTCCTCATGGCTATGCTGCTTCCTTCCCACTTGCTCTCCTAAGCCATATCAAATCCTGTCACTTTTATATATACATTATTTCCAAAATCCACACTCCTTTCCACAATTCTAAAACATCAGTTAATGGTTTGGTTATTTGATTTCTAGCTTACTAGAGTTGGTGGATGCCCAATCCCTGGGAACATTCAAGATCAGCTTGAACGGGGCTCTGAGCAACCTGATTGAGATAAACATGTCCCTACTCATTGCAGGGAGATTGGACTAGGTGATCTTTAAGTTCCCTTCCAACCCAAACCATTGTATGATTCCATGATTATTCTTATCTGGTTTTTTAAACTTGGATCACCACATTTTCTGCTTTCTCCATTTCAATTTGTCCAATATACTGAAATATTTTTTTCCTTGTAATTACTTCTATTTCATCCCTCCTTCTGATGGTTCTCTTTGAAATACGGAAATGTTTGTCTTATTTCTCTGAAAGGTGACACTTTGACACCTTTCTACCATTTTCTTGTCATCCCCTCCTGTTTTTTATTTAACACCCATGGTGTTCTCCTTCCTTCTGGTGCTTGTGTATTCCCTCTCCTCACACTGATATTTTTTCTTTCACTCAGATCATGATGCCCTTCTTTAACCTTCCTCTGTTCTGCTTTTTTTACTGTTCTCATTTGTTAGACCCAGATGTCTTGTTTCTCATCCCCTGTAGTCATCTCTGTTTGAACTGTAACCCAGTACTATTCTGCTGCTTTCTTTTTGTCTTATTGCGTTCCCAAGTGTAGCAATATGGAGCCTCATGCACATTAGCTTTGCACAGTATTGCATTATTTTATTCTCCTTAATCACCTATTGCCTATTACTTTCTATGATTCTTAATTTAGAGTGGAAGCTCTGAGTTCAGAGTGCTTCTATTTTCGCATCTGTGCAGGACTCTTTATCATGTACCCTATATGGGGCTCTTTAGAGACATTAAAGACTACTGAGTCTAGATGATACCTCCACAGTTCTTTACTGTAGATTTTGGGATCCCCTGCTCACTTTGTATAAAGGTCTCTCTGTATAATAGGGCTCCAGGAAACAGGGTAAAGTGAGAGCATTTGCTCTCAGCATTGATAGATGTAGGAATGTAGTCTTCCTTGTTTGTAAGTAGAAGCATAGAAATAGGAAAACAGATTCCCAGTGTGGTTTATTATCATGCTAATGACATGCCTACAGAAATTAACAAAGCTTTTTCTGAAAAACAATTTTTCTTTGATGAAATTATGCCTTGGCTGAGCAGTACAGTTGGAGTGAGCTTTCTTTTTTTGTTGCAGCACCATGATGCACTCTGCTTTTTCCTAATTGCACTGATTAAAGTGGAATGCATATTACTTATCAGGGCAGAGTATTTGTGATCTTAAAACAATGTGGCTACACAGCCACTTGCAAGTATTAGAAAGATGGATATATGGTAATGGTATTTTTTCTGTAGCAGTTTTTCAAATTCAGTTTTGAAAGAAAAATATATTTCTGGAGGCATTCACCAGCCATTGAATTAATGTTATTTAGTTTATGAAGAAAAGCACTTAAGAGTTAGGAAATATCAGATTTATGTTTGCTATAGTATAATAGTTCTGTCCCCTGCTGTCTTGAAATGAGGCATGATACAGAAAAAGTAGATAATTATAATGGTAACTAGAAACTACTTCAAAAAGTGTACATAGGAGAATGGCAGTTGATATTGTGCAGCAGTTACTTCCTTGGTATTTCTGAGCATTGATGCTCCCAAGAACCTCAAGTCTGAGAAATTTAGAAGTCCTTCAATACTGAGATTTCTGTTTGTTCTTTTAAGGGAAGAAGAAAATTCTGTTGTATATGGCTGTAACAAATTGCTTCTTATGCATCACTCAAATGTTTGAGTCTTGAATTTTGAAAAAATACAGTTCAAATTACAAGCATTAACGTATTACCAAGTAACATTAAAAGATGATATCTTTCGTCACATTTTCTGGGGAAGTTATAGGCTTAATGATTTGTTGATCATGCTGGTTCAGACTTTGCATGGAGCGATTGAAGTCTCACGCTCTTCTTCCTTCTGTAACAATTATGTCAGGTTTACAAATTATCTGTTTAGCTCGACTGGCAGCTGTGATTGGCATGATGTGAAGAGCGCACATACGTGCTGTGCAGCTGGCCAGTCAGAATATGCACACCTCCTGGCTGGCCAGCCAGCATGTCTGCAGCTCTTGACCAGATTTTATCCAAAAAGTCCAAAGAAGGTAGGAGTTTGTATGGGATGACAGCATAATGCTGAAATGTTCTTGACTAAGGGCATGGGTGTATTGGGGAGAACAAATTTCTCATGGGAGCCTTGGAGGACTGTAATCATGGGGAGCATGCAGAGCAAAAGAGAAAGCAGGGGTGTTGTAGTTCAAGGCAGAAACTGAAGTCAAAGTGGCTGTCACAGTGGGGGTTTATTGTTGCAAAACTGGGCGACAGCTACACGTCATCCTCCACCTGAACTCATGAGGCAGTCATAGTACCTAGTCAAGATTTATGGACCAGCATATTAAAATAGAATGTTATAGAAGTAATAAGTAGTAAGTAATAAGGGTTTGATTTTTTTATATCATAGTTATTTTTACATGTTAAGAGTCAGAAGTTCAAGATACCTAGGTTGGTGATTGGGCTTTTCACAAAATTCAGGGAGTTTGTAGTGGCATGAGATAAATGTGGTCAAACTATCAGTGCCCTTGGCCCTGCAGTTAAAGATCTTCAGAGGCTGAGGAAGCTGCGTGTTTAAAAAGTCACCTTTATGTTCAGTGGTCTGGACGAGCCGTTTTTTCCCTTGACTTTGGACTCTGATTTTCTGAGAGTGCTTGAATAGTGTGATGGTAGTTTTCAAGAAACAAGGTTTTTAAAGGGACAAAGGATATTCTGAATAGGCTATACAAATAAAAATATAATCAAAAGATAAGTGGTATAAACATGATGTTGCAAAAATACCTTTACTTCATTTTTTCCTGTTCACAGACTTGCTTGCACTTTCTTACATACTTCGAGTAGTAGAAGGTTTTGTTGGTTTAGAAATTAGCCATCAGTCTCATGGTTTTCTAGTAGTTCCTGACATTTCCCAGCCCAGTACACAAAGCTTGGCTGCTTTCCATCTAATTAAAATGCAAAGTTATTGAAAGGATACTAGAATGTCTGCTGAGATTTATGATAAATCTTAGCAAGCATTTCAGCAAGGGTTTGAGTTTCAGAAAATCCCATCTCATCATACAAAATAGGGCTGAATTATGAAAAAGTATTTACAAAACAAAAAACTTCGTAGTTACAGTAGTTCAGGATTTGCCCTAGGACTTTCTTGCCTCTTAATGAAAGTTTGTGGTGAGAAAACATTGACCTTTGATTTTTCTAAACACTTCATATGGTAGTTGCTAGCTTTATTTTTCTGTTTGTATTTTATGTAAAAAAAAAATTCTTATCATAAGGAATTTATGTCTCCCAAGTTTTACCCTAGGAAATGTGGGTAATCTTAGTGAAGGATAGTTAGGGGTATGAGTTTTGGAATTTCTGAATAAGATTTATGGACCAGCATATTAAAATAGAATGTTATAGAAGTAATAAGTAGTAAGTAATATGGGTTTGATTTTTATATCATAGGTATTTTTACATGTTAAGAGTCAGAAGTTCAAGATACCTGAGAGTATCAGGAACTGTTATCTCTCCTACAGTGGGCACACTGAACATAGAGCTGTTTAAAAAAATTATTTCAAATCATTGCATATTTCAAAAATTATGTGGTTGGTTAGTGTGTTGTTTGTTTGTGTTTTTTTTAATCAAAGAACATCTTGTATTATATTTCAATTTGTTTAAACTAGTAGGTGTAGATATTTTTTTATTTGGATAACCGGTAAAAATAGTTCAAATATATGTGATTTGGTTACTTGTCAAATGAAATTGTGTTTTACCCCTTGTATATTTAGTCCTTTTTTAAACTTAATAGTAAATCATTTAATCAGCATGGCAGCTCTGAGCAACTTCAGGGACAAAACCACAATGCTGTTTGTTTAAGGAATTATTTATCACAGTTTAACACAAACAGAAGTACTCTAAATACCATTATCTGTTGTTTTAATAGGACTCTGCCTGTTTTAGTGTCAAGTTTATACCTTCTTCCATATGCTATGCAGTTCTCTGTTGCATTTTACAAAGGACATTATTTACTAGACGATAAAACTACAGTTTATTAAGTTATAACATAGTTCACAAGTGGCACAGATAACTTGAAATTAATTTTTATTCTTCCTTATGTCCTGGGCTTCATGTGTACTGAGAGCTCTTAGCAATTGTAACAACTATTGCTTTTTGTAAGAATTGGTAGTCTTTAAGCCATTTTATCTATTCCCAGCTGACTACCACAGCAGTGGCCACACCGTCATTAATGGCTGGAAGATCCACAACACGGCAAAGAATAAGTGGTTTGTATGCATGGCAAAAACCCCTGAAGAGAAGCAAGAATGGCTGGAAGCTATTTTGAAAGAGCGAGAGAGAAGAAAAGGTAGGTTAATAAACTTCCTTGTGTTGCTTTGCCAGAAAGCCATGCTGTATTTTTATGTTGAGATATAAAGAAAACCAGCTGGTAGGCAAACTTGTGGTGTCAGATTCAGCTGAAGATTTATGAATAACAGCTTGGGAAAAATAAATCAAGCTTGTACTGGGAAGGGCTTTGTGTCTTGAATCATGCATGCTGGTGTTGAGTACTGTTTTGGAAATGGGGAGATGATTTAACCTGTGATTTTATAGCTTATCCTCAACCAGTATAAATCACCAAAAACTCATTGAGACCTGTGTAATATTATGGTCTGTGGTATCTGAGGGTCTATCCTAAATGCCTCATGTGATTTTTATGCATTGATTGCCTTTGTGACTGGCCATTTGAATCACTGAAATGAGCAGGTTTTTGGTGTTGGATTTTAAGGCAGATGATCCAAAGTGAAATGGTGCAGAACGTACCCACAGCTCGATCTTTAATGTATTCTCCCCTACCAAAGAAATTAAGAAATCACCAGTGGCAAACCACTATCTTTTTGAATACCTGAATTAAGGTGGAAGAATACTTTGATGAAATATAATCCTGATCTCAGATGTGACCATGAATAACTTCATGTGTTCAAAATTAACTCAGCACAAAGTAGAAGCAGGGAAAGATGACACATCATAATTTTCTGGAGCTAATTTCATTTGCAAGCTAAAATATCCATATTAGTAATGTAGTTCGGAGCCTTGATGGTGAAGGAAAATATGACCCTTGTATTTAAGTCTCTCATGCTTTTCCTGATTTGTGTAGATTTTCTGTTGCAGTAATTGTTGTGTTGTGCCTCTGTTCTAAATGGAGGCCAACATTATTTTCTTTGTTTTTTTTAAAGCTGAATTCTGGATGCTTGTAGAACATCTGTTGTAGGACCAGAGTTTCAAATAGGGTATTTGAGTGCTAGCTAATTAATAGTGTCACCAGGAATTATAAGCAGAAAAGCTAAAAAAAAAAAAAACTTTAACGTTCTAAAACCTCAACATTTTTAAAATAATAAGTGAGAAAGCAATGTGGTAGAGATGGTGTCAAATACAACAAAACTTGGGTTTATCTGCTTTTGTATAGGACCTTTTCAGGAACCGACTAAAATGTTTTCATTCCACTTCACTGTTAAGTTTCTTGGATCCCATAAGTTCTTGGTACCTCAGACAAGAAATACAAAGATTAAGTAGGAGTACTTTATGTTGATGAATTCTTACTGTTTCACACTAATAAACTGAGCAGCTGGTAGAAGGGATGAGTTTGAGCTAAACCTTCGCAAGCTCAAGGTCTGAGGTAGCTATCCAGAAACCAAGACATGTCTTAGGATTTTAGCATTCTAAAAATTTGTGGAAATTTTCAGCTCCTGATGTTTTCAGTGGGTTTCCCACCAAGGAGACAACCGTGAAACAAAGAAGAGAGAATCTGGGGCACACGTAGATCCAGGCTGCAACACAGAATCTCAAAAAAAAAAAAAAAAATGAGTTGGAAGACTCAGAGTTTCAATGGACTTGGAGAAACTCAACCTGTGATTTTATTTGGAATCTATGCAGCAGAAGCTGAGCTAAAAGGAGAGAATGCCCTGAATGAAGTAGTTTAGTTCAGCTTTGGTAATTAAATTACAAATTAGGACCTCTTCATAGATTGTATTTTCTTGCTAGGAGAAGTCAAGCTGAATTGGAAAATTTTGTAGAAGTCTTTCTGTCAATTCGGTGCCTTTCTTGTAAACACCTGTTATTTGCAAACTTGCTGAGGGTGCACTCAATCCCACTGTCTGTGCTGTTGATGAAGATACTGGAGCATTGATGATGACAGAGCATTGAGGGACACTACTTGTCACCTGTACAGTTATACTTTAAAAATGGTGAAAATCTGAACAGAAACTGAGAACGTGTACACAAGACACTCAAGAAATGTGTGCTTCTGTCCAGAATTAATAACTGTTTTTTGAGAAAGCATATAGGATATGAAAGTCTGCGATATTCCTTGAACACAAGCTTCTCTGAATGGCCATAGGATGCATATAATTCAACAAAAACTGGGTTTGATCATCTGTTTCTCAGAAAACATAATGATTTTTTCAAGAAGATAAACACGGAAAAAGTAAACCTCTAAAAAATATTGAGCTAAACCCATTGATAGCTTTCCATTGTTGAAAAAATTCTGAAGCAAATAAAAATCAAGCCATGTATATGCTTTTGTGGAAAAGGGGTGAATTAATCTTATGTGAAACTGCTGTTTGTATAGCAGTTAACTAGTTACTATTAATTGCAAATTAAAAAAATATTCCTTTAAGTGAAGACGTTTTTATTGTTGCATGATAGAAACAAAACCAAGGTTCTTTTATTTCAAATGTGTGAAGACATGACTACTGCCTTGCAAATGTTCATATACTGAAATCTGAAAATCACAGCTTAGTATTTACTAATAAAAAGTCAGTGGTGATGTTGAATGACTAACAGTTTAACTGCACTATAAGGAGCTTTAAAATATCTTTTGGTTATGCCTTATGAGGATCAGATGTTCATAGTTTAACTTGATTGTTAGAAAAAAATGGGAAACAATTCCTTTACTTTTTTTTTGGTATTAAAATATTGGTATTGCTTCTCCATTTCGGGGAAGATACTGAAATATAATGGCAATATCACTTCATAAAGTTTTAATGCATTTTTGGCAGGTTTAAAATTGGGCATGGAACAGGACACTTGGGTGATGATCTCTGAGCAAGGAGAAAGACTGTACAAAATGATGTGCAAACAAGGGAATCTCATCAAAGACAGGAAGAGGAAATTAACCACTTTTCCCAAATGCTTTCTTGGAAGGTATTACATGCATTTGATAGCACGAATTTTTACCCTATAAAAACACATTTTAAATCTTCTTTGGGATTCTGTGGAAACCACGCTTCATTTGCAATGTCTGTTAGGCCTATTTGTCTCACAGAGTTTAGCCAAAATGTAAACTGGTCTGCCTGAAATTTATGAATATATATACTTGTATTGCAAAGTAGTTCTGTTAAAGAGAAAAGGCTGCAAAGGCATGATGAAAATATGAAAGTGTGTCAAGTGAATTAGTTTCTTTAAAAAAATGATTCCTGACTTGATTATTGCACTTTGTCTCTGTAATGACTAGTTTGGAATGTAAAATTTATTTATTATTTATTCCACTTTGACCAGTCTCTGCCTCTAAAAGTGCTCCTATCCTCCTCTTGCTTGAATATCAGGAACAGAGTTACTAAGTAACGTTTATGTGTTTAAAAATTTATCAGTATTACCAGGGGGATCTTTATAATGCCACATTATATATACGGCTTAAGACTGAATGAAAGACAAAGAAATAGATACCCTAAAAATGTGTATATGGAAAAAAAGGGGTTTATCACTTATTCCGTTCGACCATAAGATGGTTAAGCATGAAAAGCGCTTTTATAAAGTACAGCAAATTTCACACAAACAAGTTGTAAGGAGGCTACCACTAGGTTCAAAATGGGAAATGAAACTTGGGAGATTCTTGTGTGCTGTCAGAAGTGACATAGTTGAAGAGAATGGAAACCAGGATTAAGATTAATGATTGGATTACAGTTGAGTCATATTTACTCAGTGAAGTTGTTGGGAGCAGGTAAAGAATACACTCATGGTGAGGAGCCATTTAAACTACCATCAAATGCTGCTTTTCTGTGTGCTGTGTTCCGAGTGGATCCTTTTGAAGAACACTCCTGCTGGCCCCGGCTCACCCGTGACTGCAAAGGTTGCACTACCTCGTTACACTTTTGATTTGTAACCTACACATATGCCATAAACTTGATGTCTCTGAACTGCATCAGTTTTACTGTGATACAAGGCAGGCGTTTCCTGCACATGAAGTATATAGTTTGTGTATATGCTCAGGATGTCCTGTCAGACCTTGGAAGTAACAAGCCTACTATTTTGTCATACTGTGGTTGTGGTCTGTCATCATGACATATCTGTCCTGGGCAGGTGGAGTAGATGTGTCTGGGATTGCCTTATATTGGTGTGTCTGGTCCAATGTGGCTATGCTAGTTTAGGAAATCCCAGAAAACACGGAAAGTCTTCACTATGTGCCAGGTAAACTTTATGCATGGAAAACTTCTGAGCAGAAAAAAGAAAACATCTCATGGGAAACCATATGTGTTTACATCAAAATAAAGGGGGTTATCATCATCAATTTTAATAATTTGAAGATCACTAGGCTTAAGAATCATTCACTGGTTGACATAGACTAGTTAGAAACACTAATAATGGAGATGGAAATGCAATAGGTTTGGTAGTATGACCTGTAAGGTTTGTTTTCTGTATCTCTTTTTATTTCAGTGAATTTGTGTCCTGGCTGTTGGAAATTGGAGAGATACACAAATCTGAAGAAGGTGTTCACCTTGGCCAAGCTTTATTAGAGAATGGCATAATCCATCATGGTAAATATAGTCAGTTTTGAATTACTTCTTTTCAAGATAATTATTGTAATTAGAGTGGACTTAATTTCATCTGACAAAAATATGGTCTTGTTAACGCAAGACAGCTTGTTGAATCTGCATTATATCCTTCCAGGGACCTTATGAGCCCATTGTCCATGCATAGCAGATTTACTGGGAAAGGCTTCATTGATTTAATCACGTTACATCTATGCTGTTGGGATCACAACATTGAAAACAGGGACCTAGAGAAACATTGCTGTTCTCTTGTAAGCAAAAATAAGTTCTGGGGGAACACAGAACAGTACACTACTTTTAAGGATTTTAACCTTTTTTAAGGTCAGGCATTTTAGGGATACATGTTCAGCTAAGAGTTGTACAAGAGAGTGAGTCACAGTTGGCTGTTGATAAATGTGCCTGCTCATCTGTTAGGTATTACAACTCAAGCTGATGGAATCCAGCCTAGAACCCAACAGTTTAATTTTTTGAATTTTAAGGCCTTCTTTTCACTGCCTTGTATAATGATTAAAATTTATATTTTTATGTTGAAACTTTAAGTCAGCTCTCTGCATTTAGCTCATTGTGGAGAGAAGTATCTCTCAAATGGTTCATTTTTTGAGCCAACAAGAATGTTTGATTTTTGCAGATAATTTGCATTGGCAGCATTTTTCTCTTTCCAGAGCAGGTCCTCATCTCTGTCCCTATTACAAGATGTAGTCTAACAGGATCGTATAAATGAATTGGAGAAACTTCCAGTTTTGAAGGCATATTTGGCATACAATAGGTACTGTCACTTAAAAACCAAGTGATGAAACAGCTGTCATTTAGCTACCGTTCCATCATAGATCCAGGGTGTAAATTTAGATGAATTCATTGGTAATATGCACTCTAAACCTCCATCTAGTACACTACTATCCTCCATCCAGAAATGAATTTATTACTGATTAATAATCAAGTTTTTAGTGTCCTTGACTGGAAAAAAAGTGGAAGAAACATAGTGCCACTTAGCTGTGTGTGTTTTAAACACATGGAGAGTAGGAGGAAAAACATTAAGGTTATTCACCGGTGGTCATGTAGCCTTTAATTCTTCAATGTCAGTCTACGTGATTTTCCTCCACCATCATTCAAATGTCAGATGCCATTATGTTTACTACACACAGAGAATTGTTTTCAATGAAATCATTTAGTTGCCAGATTCTTCTCCTGATTTTGTAATTTATATCCTAAATGCAATGATAGACTTTCTCAATACAGAGTTAAATGAATATTGTGTAGTTTCATGAGATAAAAGGGTAATTATATTAGAGCATAGAAATGTAAGCCAGACATGCTACTTTGAATAGTGGATCCAGCTGTGGTTCGCTGAAAATAGCATTCTTAAAATAGAGTTGAATGAACCATCTGTTTTCACAGAGGGAGCAAGGGAGAAAGAAAGTTTGGCTGTTATTTACATTGCAAATATTATAGAGGCCTTTGTTAGAGTTTGCGTATTCACTAGGCCATCACTGTCACTGTGCTGGAGTTCATTCTAGCAGTGACAGAACCATGTTGTGATGGGAACTGTTTTACCTCCTGGTGTGTGAACTCTTGCAAGTAGAAAAGTTATGGCTTTTCCTTCCCCCCCCCCCCCCCCCCCACTTTATATAAGGGGAACAATCTTGTTGTGTCTTGCTATGCTGCTATTTTAAATCCACCTGGTGGAATTCTCTGATATCTGAAATGACTTGTGTTAGTCAGTGGGCTGAGAACTTGGTCCAGTCACTTGCTGATGATAATTAGAGATGGAAGCTTTGTGTCAAGGTAGTAAGGAGCTTTGTAGTTACAAAAATAAACTGAATATGAGATAGTTTTAAAATGAATAAGTATTTATGTGGCTGCACAGTTTCTTGGACTGATGTACTGATGTGGTTTAAAATTACACTGGCAAAAAAGTAAATGAGAAGACCAGATCTGTTTTTCGTAGTCTGTGCCGTATAGATATATATCCCAGCATAAATGTAAGTACAGCCCAACCAACTTGGGCTTTCTTATTTTAGTGGTAATACACCTTTTCATCAGCTTTAAGTGTTTGAAACTCAGGATGTGCCAGCTCTGTGAAGCTGCCTTAGTTTCTGGTGCAATCTGTAAGTCAGGACTGCAAAGACAGAGTGGTACTCAGAGGGCGTTGCCTGCTCTGTTCATCGTGGGCACGCAAGAAAGGAAAGGTGCTTTGTGATCCCAGTTCACTCCCAGTGCATCCCTGTAACAATAATGAACAATTTGGCATTAGGCAAAACTGTTCTGGTGGTTTTTCTCTTTTCAGTGCTTGTTGGTTTTAAAAGCTCTTAATTTGTGTTAATCTAGTGGAATATATTTTTTCTTCAACCATAAGATTTTTTTTTTAATTGCAGAACTAGAAGATATCTTTTTTCCCCAAGTTAAATGGCCACAATCCATTAAAATCCATTTAGGTATTTACATTAGATGTTATATGTGAAAATGTGAAAATTTTGTAGCCTATATCTGGTATATTTAGAAGCAATGATACGTAAAAAGCTTAGAAATTATCACCTTAGCATGAACTATCAGTTCAAGGCAATTTGAATAGTGTCCTGGGCTTTCCTATTAGTAGATATATCAAATGCACATAGAGAAGTTATTTTCCTCTTGCACATGACACTGGTGAAACCACTTAATATATGAAGTTCAGTTTTTATGTCTGTGTGTCAGATGATGTGTGGAGATAATGAAGAGATTAAAGGAGCATGAAAAATGACACAGACAGAAGGCACCTTACTCTACAAAGTTTATGATGCCTAACTAAGTTTTTGGAGGAGAGTTATGTATGATGGCTTAATCACTTGATGTACAATGACATGCACAGAATTACCTGACGCTGTCAGGTGTGTTACTCTGATTAATGAACACATTACAGTGCCCTTTATCAATTGATGACATGTAAATTTAGTTTCATAATTAAATCTTACAGCTGCAAGCAAAACTATAATTAATAAAAAAAGTTATCCTAGGATGGTGCTACTGCCTAATGCTGTCCTCAGCCATCAAATGGTTCAGCTGTTTTTCAGAAAGACTTGCAGTAGTACTGCTTCCAGGAGAAACTTTGTATCCTGTGATATGACTGTTTTGACAAAATGCTTGAAGTTTTGAGGTTTGCTGCTGGAATCCAGTGAAACAGTTGAAATCCACTTGCTAATATTCTTTTTCATGGGTCTTTGGGCAAACAGACTATCAAAATCTTTGTAATGATTGCTGGTCTCTTGCAACTAGAATCTCTGCCTGTCTATATATAGGGGAAGACATTCCCTTTTTCCCCCAGTTCAGGACTGGTCAAATGTGTTGAGAAGGATTCAGATCTTTAGTTAATCATTTGAGATTGGTCTCAACAAGAATGAGGACAGAAAATGATGTGTAAGAATATTCTGAATAGTTGCAAAAGAAGTCTAATTTGGATATTTGGTTCATAAACTTTGCAAAAGCGCTGAGGACTAGAAAGATTTGAGTGCCTAAATTTCATGCAGTTCCCTGTATGTGTGTCTTCCTTATTCTTTGCCCTGTGACTTGAAATTGTTTTTTTTCTTTACTACTTAAATGTTCTAAGAAATATTGTCACCAGTGACGTAAAGGAACTTAGGGTGGATGATCTAATTGGGCTTCCCGCCCTTCCTGTCTGAAATCTTACCTGTTGCTGTGTAATGGGCTGTTATTAGAAAGAATGATGCTGACTTTCTTCTCTCTTGTTGATTTCATCAGAAAATAGTCAAACAATACTCTCTCTTTTTTTTTTTTTTTTTAATTTAGTTACAGATAAGCACCAATTCAAACCTGAACACATGCTGTATAGATTCCGATATGATGATGGAACATACTACCCCAGAAATGAGATGCAGGATGTGATCTCTAAGGTACAGAATGAAATGGTTGCTGTTATTAGGAACAACATGTCAGAAATGGAGGCTCTGCTTGAAAAATAATGTAAAATATTATTCTGGAATAAACAACATCCTCTCAAAGTTGCCAATCTCAATGTGAATCAAAATCAGTTTTCTATTTGTAAGATTTTGGCTTCTTGTTACACATTTTAAATAAAAAATGAAAGATTACTATTATTTATAGTTATTATTCAGTGGTTTCATATGAAGGATGCATTGCCTAGGTTTGTGGCGGATTCTGAAGCTGATGTTCCAGCCTGTTATATTTTTCAATCCATTTTCATAGATACGAAGCTATACGTAAGGAACTGATTTTAAATTTCTCTTATAACTGAATGTCTTTTATTAGTGCCTTAACAAGGCAGTAAATCTATCGACATGGAGATGTTTAAACACACATAGGTAGTATTATACATCATTGCTACTGAGCATAATGAAAAGATTGATCAAAGTTGCCTTTAAACTCATTAATATTCAAATTTTTCATGATTTGAGTCAGTCAAAAATGTCTGCATTTGGGTATTACGTTACAGTGCCATTCACTTTTTTGCTAGCACTTGATAATGTAAGATGCATCTAGAGGAATCTTCAGTACTGAAGTACCAGGCAGAGAAAAATACAGTGGAGTCTAATTTGACACAATTTTTAATTGTTATACACTCATCTTCTTGCATTTTGTGAACATAATTGGTTTTTGGTAGTTCACTAAGTAATACTAATGTCTTTTCCTTTTATAAATGCAATTTTCTGATGGTAGTTTCTTAAACTACTCCAAATGTTTTGTGTTTTTGTTTTTAAATGAAAATATTTCTAATTTTTGAATATTTTTGCTTTTTAAAATGGATTAGTTATAATTTAAATTTCTAAGTAAAGTATTGATCCATATAATAAAATACAGTATTTTTTAATGTAATTACTCAGTTGTGTGTAGAGTAACAACCAGTATTTATGACAACCCTAATGCACGGAGACATTGCTTTATTCTTTGTGTACTTTTCTGTACTTTTCTGTACTTTCAAATTATTTCAAACCTTCAGAATTTTTTAGTGCTACCTTAAAGCTAATCCTTTTTGGATGTGTCTCAGTGAAGCTTAGATTAGACTGGACATGTTTTCTTTCTCCTAATTTATTAACCGATGTTGTTATCTGGAGACATTAAGTTTTGGCACATGAAAATACATAAAAACCTGAACAGACTCTTTATGTAAATGAAGTGTATTTGCAACATATAGGCTTCCTTACTGTGCCCATGCCTCTTATGTGCTGTGTGATGTGAACATGGGTTAACACCACCTCTTTCTCTTTAACAGGGTGTACGACTGTACTGTCGCCTTCACAGTCTGTTTACCCCAGTAATTAGGTGAGTCCAATTGGGAAATCCTTAGAGAGTCATTTGGAAGTAGTTTATAATATAAAGATTCTGCATTAGTCTTTTGAGAGTACTCAAATAAGATTGAAGGGCTATCAAGACAAAAAGTATAACTGAATCCTTAAGTGACTACCAACTCTGCTCAATATGACTTTTTTAACAGGCTTCCAGAGCCTTCTAGGTCCTGATGGATATGCTTATATGCTTATTGTATATGTTACTACACTCCTTCACTTACATTCCATTACCTTATCTGGGGAGTCCCAGATGTGACAACACACCTGCCTTTATACTCCAGTGACATTGTCACCCAAGTAAGATGTGGTCAGCCTCCACCTTTCTGTTTGCATTGAAAAGTTTAATTTGCTTTTTTTCCTCCAGAGGAAACTTCTGAACCATTATAAAATGCTCAATTCATGCTTGCACTAACTTGTTTACAAAATACGGATATTTTTCTGTTTCTTTTGAGTTTTTATTTGCTTGTTTTTTTTTAATTGTTTTGTATTGTTTTGAACAGGGATAAAGATTATCATTTGAGAACCTACAAATCTGTGGTTATGGCTAACAAATTCATAGATTGGTTGATTGCACAGGTAAATATACACCTTTGGATTTATGTATATTGTGCATTGAAATTCTAATTTGAAAGCTAGCAATTTATCAAGCAGAATAACATGCAAACACTTTGTGTAAGTGTTATTAGAACAGTATGTGTAAGTGTAATCTTCTTACGCTGGTAAAGTAACACAAATCAGCTGTCAGCAACCATGCTGTTAATTCTTTATGTGCTTATCTTCTTTATGTGCAATTGAACTTGAAATGTTTTAATGACACTTAGCTTTATGCTTCAGCATGTAACACTGTTCATGGCTTACAATGAAAGGAATAGGCTCTGAATAACTCTAAATGAGTAACTAGATGGACAAAAGTCAGTGCCAATTTGCTGTCAGCAGCTCTGTTTTATTTTAAATGAACTAGAAGCAAGAGCAGAGTATCCTGTTCATTCTGTCAACATGCACTAATTTCATAAAATAAAATTTTAAAACTTTGATACTTTCAGATTCTATTGCATTCAATTTTTATGGAGTATGCAGTGTTACTTAAGTGTTTACCTATTTATTTCAAAGTATAAAGAGTTAGAGCACATAAAGGTCTCTTCCAACCCAAACTATTCTCTGATTGTATGATAAACCTGTATATACTGTTTTATATATGTATGCTAGAAATGTATATGTAAAGGTGGTGGTGATAAATATAATCTACAGCAAGTGCCATCCCTGTGAGATTATTCCATTGTGCACAGATTCCATTTTGCTGCTATATTAAAATATATTAAAAAAATTATTCTATGGTTTAACAGGGGGATTGCCGGACGAGGGAGGAAGCTATGATATTTGGTGTGGCTCTTTGTGACAATGGGTTTATGCATCATGGTAAGTAAATACATTCTGTACAAGCTGTGCTTACTTTCTTTTTTATGTTATCTACATAGTTGGAAGGAAATGCAGGTGCCAATAAAGATATTACAGCACAGATGAAAAATTCGTCTGTTGTATCACTGAAGAGACCTGTGCCACAGTCATCAGGAAAAAGATTAGCTATTGTATACTTTGAAAATTATATCCAATTTTATGTCATCTCCTGAGGAATTCATATTCTGAAGGATTTACCTGGGGCAGTTCTATTAGTCACTTGGCAAGAAATTTCTTAGCAGGTAATACATGTTTGCACAGATGAAACAATAAAAAGTTAGGATAAATATAAGAAAGAAGTGTGACATTCTGGGGGAAAGAATAGAGTATGGAGAAGCATGACTTTAACAAAAAGTGAAGTGGTAATAATAGGACAAAGTGGACTGGAGGAAAATGAGAAAATCATAAGGATAGCAGTGAACAAAGAAGGGGGAGGAGAGCAGAGATGTGTGCAGCACCAAAAATGAGGTGAACAAGGTCCCATTTAATACCCTCAAAGGCAAGATTTCAGTGAAAGGATCAAAGTAGTAGGTCATTTACTGAAATGAAAAGAAGAAGGAATTATAGAAGGAATTATGTTTTTGTCAGCCTGTTTAGAGAAGGAGAGAAAATTAACATCTGCTCTGGTATTGTTCATTCTTTTTCCTTTGACTTTTAAACATACCAGCTGCACCCATCTGCTGTTCTGGATGCTTCCTCATCCCCACCAAACCTATTTCTGAGACTGAACCTGGCAGGCTTCACCATCTGGAGAGTGCCAGAACTTGGTGGAGAGCATCTTCAGCAGCTGCCTAGCAGAACTCTTCAAAATCATATTTTAAAATCCCTTTTAGGAAGAAACTTTGCACTTTGCATTTTTACTAAAATGATTTCAAGCTAATAGGCTTTCTAAACATGGTGGAATCTAGATGTTTTGTTGAAAAATAAGATTAGAGATACCTATCTGTAATAGATCCGAATAACAATTGTTGAATATGTTAAACGATTTCCCTGGATTCACACAAACACACAAAAATAGTTTGCTAGCATTCAATATGGGTATGCATGCTCAGTATTTTATGGCTTATGAAAGACATGATATTCAAAGGTTCAAAATTAAAAAAGGATTAATACGTGTGGGTTTCTATCACACAGTCTTAGAGAAAAGTGAATTTAAAGATGAACCATTGCTGTTCCGTTTTTATGCGGATGAAGAAATGGAAGGATCAAATATGAAGCACAGACTCATGAAACATGATCTGAAAGTAGTGGAAAATGTCATAGCCAAGTCATTACTGGTGAGTGAAACCCAATGATTCTATGCTTTGATGAGTAAAAAAATTGGTCATAGTGACAATAAATTAGGGCTGTTTATTTAATGAGGATATACTTCAGCTTTTCTTAATGGCTCTCTGAACAATATTTTAAACAATTTTATTTTTCAGATTACATCTAATGAAGGCACCTATGGTTTTGGTTTAGAAGATAAAAATAAGGTGCCTATTATTAAAGTGGTGGAGAAAGGATCAAATGCTGAGGTATCGAGTATTATAAATTATCTTCCCTGTTTTATTTACTTGGTCACAGATGTATGCTTTGTGCATCAGATAGGAAAGTCTGTAGCAGTAGAAGGTAACTGTGACAACTTTCCAAGAAGGCTGCGCTTATGAATCTTACTCATTTTTTTCCTTTTTTTTTTTTTGGTGTTTTTTTGGTTGATTGATTGGTTGGTTTTGGTTTTGGTTTTGTTTTGTTGGTTTGTTTTTTTTGTTGTTTAACACGTTGCTCTGACCATGAACACTTATTTTCTGCTCAGCTAAATTGTCACATTGAGTGATATAAAATTTATAATCTTATTTTTATGCATTTTATAATATTCCAGTTATGACATTAATCCTGAGTGGAATAAACAGTTTTGGTAAAATGTGAAATGAGTATAGAGCTAGTCTGTGAGTTGCACAGTAAAAGATCATAGTAAATACATCATAGTAAAAGATGTATCAAGCTTTATATAAAGCCTAGAATTTGAGAATCTAAATGAATAAATTGCAGTCTTCCTCTGTGTTGGTATTGCTTTAGATGCTCTTCGTGTAGATTCATATTCTACTGAACTGCACAGGAGTCTCTAGATATGCAAAGAATGAGTCTCCTGCATGAGAGAAAAAATTTGGACCTAGATTTCAAGGCTTTCTAAATCTCATGGTGGAAATGAAATTTAAATTATAAATAGACACAGCAAATCAATAATATAATAAAGCCACAGAGCTATGTAGGGTGATTTCTAGCAGTCAGATTCTGCCATGATCTCAGATGGCACCAAGGCCCTGAGCCACTCCTGCTGTTCAACTGCTTGTGGTTCCTTTCTTGTTACACCAAAGTTTAAAAACTGTTCTGTTTTGGAATTTAACAAATATTCACTAAAATTTTGATTAGGTCTGTCTTTATGAAAAGAAGCTTTAGTTCCTTTGGAAAATGATGGATGAACAAATTAAGTACCATCGTAAAATAAATGGCTCAATCAAAGCTGTTGTGTTAATTAGTAAAACTATTAACTGGTATTGTAATACTGTCATAAAATCTTGATTAAGTCTTGTGTTTAGATCCCTTCACAAGGAGTGTTTACTGTACCCTTCACATCAATTTTACCAGTTTTAGAAGCGTTTTGTGGTAGAAGTCCTGTGTATAGTACATGAAGGAGTCATAAAGAATGTAAAGTGAATGTTTATATCATTATTCCTACTAGGGTTGCATGCCAGCAGAAGAAAACGTAATGCTAGTGGTTATAAACTGTTCTTGTTTTCTAGATGGCAGGCTTGGAAGTTGGGAAGAAAATCTTTGCCATTAATGGTGACCTGGTTTTTCTGAGACCCTTCAGTGAAGTGGATTGCTTCCTGAAAGCCTGTTTAAACAGCAGAAAGCCCCTGCGGGTTCTTGTGAGCACTAAACCACGGGAGTAAGTTGTCATTCCTTTGGGGAAATTTTACAAACAAAATTGAAGTGAATTTTAAAAGACCAGTGGAACTTTGGAGAGAACTATTGCAAAGTTATTTTAAATGCTGTATCTGAACTAACTTTGTAAAGACAAGGAATTTGATTTCCTGAGATTTTGTTGCATTAGATTTGTGAGTCAGCAAAAGCAAAACACGAGTACTTTAGATCTTCAGCTCTGTCACTTTAAATACATGCAGGAATTACAAATGCAAATGAAGTGTCCTTGACTGTATGGACAGGTTTGATCACTTATCTCTCACTGTGTGTATTAAATAAGTTCCTGTGTCTGGGGATTAATTGCTGGTTTGGCATAGTCAGACTGTGGTCTAATGTATCCCTTCAGCATGTGTGCTGGTTGTGTAAACAGCAGGAGCAAGTAAACACCTCCTCATCTTTACGTAACAGATGCATTTCTGTACACAGGTTTGACCATTCCTACCTAAATGCAAGTTTTGTTATATAAAAGAAATACAAAGTGAGGCCTAAACATGTGGGTTCAGCAAATATGTATATTAATAAGATTAATGCAGTTGTTGCTAGTTTATACATAACAAAGAAGGAAGAGACCTAAGGAATACTGGTCAGGAGTAATTTTGATCAAAATTGGCAGAGTAAAGAGGAGCCATGCTCTGTTACCAGGTAGCATATACAGAGTACCTCCCTTTGGTTCAGTGGTAGAATGGAGATGTCCCTCTCCTGTTAATAAGCAATGCTGTCTTGAGAAGTTAAAATGAGCCCAGAAAAAGAGCAAAGAAAGAAATATGGCATAAACATGCTCATCTGGACTGATAGTCCAGCACCACCACCCCGCCCCCTCCCCCAGCCAAACAAAAATCACAGTAAAAAAGTCCCCCAAACAAATTGACCATAGTGTTGTAGCAAGAATAAAAGACATATCTTGGTTTAATTTCTGACAGAACTTGTGGGTGGATTTCAAGGTTGACAGAATTGATCAGATGAACGAGGAGCTCACAGGAGTTGAAGAATCTGTTTCTCAGTGCTGCCTGCTGTTTGCCAGTAGCTGCTGCTAGCATAACTGTTTTGACAGAAGAGACAGTTCTCTCCTAAATTCTTAGCCTAAACTGCCAGTGAGGGTCTTTCATAGTTTATTATCATGTTCACAAGGCAGTTTCAGAATGCATATCAGTTATATCAACATTAGTTAATATGTAAGTACAGTAAATGGTGCTATATTTACAAATATATTTCAAATGAAAATTTATTAATCTCAATAATATTCTAATATTTTAAAGAAATTTTAGGCTTCAGTGAGTTTTGGATCTGCTCTGATGATAATCATCTCCAAATGCTTGACATTGTGTATACTAGGAAAAAAAAAGAAATGCAAGAAATGATGCAATTATAGTAGTCAAAACTGCCTGTAAATCAAGTTTGTCACAGTCCAAATCAATTTGACTTTGTTTGCTTTTGCAATGGCAAATGGAGCTTGGGGCAGAGATCTCTGAAATAATAACAGAACTGGCTCTGGAAGGAAAAGCTGCGAAGTTAAATCACTGCACTGTTTTGCCTGACCCTACTAGCTCTGATAAGGGCTAATGCAGCTGTGTTGCTTTTTCTAGATCCTGAGCTGATACCATGTGGGTAAGCTAGCTTACTTTGAGTGAGCTCAGGGCTTAATTTTAAGGAGTAGATGTGAATTTTGCTTCTCAGAACTGTGTTTTTCAGTAGGTTAAGACCAAGCAGAGTGTAGCACAATGTGCTTACAAGTCATATGAACAGCAGTAGATGATTTGTGATTTACAGATCTCAGTACTTTCCATATCTGCTCAGAAAAACTGCAGCAAAACATTTTTTCCAGAAAACTTACTGAGTAGACACTTGGAAGCTAACAAATTACAGTATGGGGTTTAGGCTCTCCTGCAGCTCATCTGACCAGACCTGCCATGCTCTGTGATCCCCAGGCTCTGACCTGTTGGTTGAGAGACTGACTGCCTTCCTGGGCCTTTCAGTGTTGCAGTGCTGTGGCAACTTACCCAAATACCAGTCCCTTTGGGAGGAATTTTAAAGTTATGGTGGTGTTTTGGTTGTAATTGGTATATCAAATTTCCCTGTGAAATAGATATTATTTGCTGTCTCACCTTTCTCTTATTTCTGATATCAGTGGTGAACAGTATCTGGAATATGAATGCTGCAGAATCTGAAACTGTGAATCGAATAAAAATGTGGAGTCGTACACCCTTGTAATCTGCTTGTAGCTGTCTACTTTTATCTTGAGTAACAATATGCTGCTACCTTTTGCTGCATTCGTATTCAATCTTTCCTTGTATCAGGACAGTGAAGATTCCTGACTCTGCAGATGGGCTTGGATTCCAAATCCGGGGCTTTGGCCCATCAGTTGTCCATGCTGTTGGGAGAGGTAAGCTGTAAGAGCTGTCAGTGTTACTGGTAAATATGCATTTAACATCTAGATGGCTTGGTTGAGATAAATCAAAATTAGGTCTACTGATCCAGCTTAGATGTTTTCCACTCAGATAAATAAACCCAAATATGATTATTTTGTGTTCTTATACTCTGTAAACTTTGAATAGTTCTTCCAACTTCTTTATCGGTATGTACTTATACCGGTGTATGAAAGTTAAGTTAGAGCTGTGCATTCTTTACAGATTAAGGAATACCTGAGGAATTTGAAATCACCTTCTCCAATGCTTAGTTGTTGGGAACCAGTCACTTCTTTGGTGGCCATTTGGTTCTGCAATGTTCTGAAAATGCACTTTTCAAAAATCTTTTCAAGACTACTAGTGACCTAGTCTGTCCTAGTAATTGCAGATGCTTCACATAAATACTGTCTTGTCCATTTCGGGATGTGATTGTCAAATGCTTGCAGTTCCTAACTCAATATGTTTTTGAATGGTGTAATACATATTTGACTTGTGATAAAAGAAGTTGAAGCATTCTCTGTTGCATCTCATATTGTTAATGCTAGAGCAAACTAACTGTATTTTCATCTGTTGTGGGAGAGTTGTGTCCTTTTACCTCCTTCTTCCTTTTATCTGAGGAATTTAAAGTGAACCGATCTGCAAACAACCAGATTTGAACATAGCTGGATGACTTTTTTCTAGGCTGTGGTGCCAGAAATTAGATTTTCAAGAGAAAGACTAATAGACTACAGACTGTTGAGCTGATGTGATAATTATTTCTGCACCTGGATCTCAATTCAACTGCCTGTCCTTATTCATTAGGCGCATACTTAATTCCACTCAGCCTCAACAATATTCAAGTGCTTGCTTGTGTGATTTGCTAAATCTGAAAGATTTTAAGCATATGCTTAAAAACTTTGCTGAATTGGGACCTTGGGGTATTTTGAAGAGATTTATTTTTTTTTTTTTAGAGAAAGATATTTAATAAGGCCTATTTTGATATTTATTTTTATGGTTTTTTTGTGGGGGAGGAGAGACTGCAAAGCTGGTAATGGTTTCATTTCCAACAACTTCCTTTTTTATTAGATTTAAATTGCAGTTATCATCTAATAATGATAGTTCCTAAAATGAGGGAAATTCAGGTATATTCTGGAAGTATATCTTTGTCAAATAATGCCCAACTGACAAGTCATGAAGTTGTGACAAACATTTCCATTTGCCAATTCTGCAAATTTGCTCTTGCCCTTTCTTTCACAGCAGGTAACTTCTGCACCTGAGACTGGCAGTCTCTAGGCAATAGATTTTTACTGTCTTGCACCTCTGTGGTAGCATCAGAAGAGATATAAGGGGGCAAATGTTCAGGTAGCTGGAACTAAGGTCATTCTCCATCAGGCCATCTTTTCAGGTGTGGGTTTGAGTCACACTGAAAAAGACCAAGAGACAGCTGCAATACTGAATAGTACCTATTCAGTGGCTAGAAGATTTTCCCAGGGTGGTTATTCCATTGTGAAAATAAATCACCAAACCACATGTTTTATGCTACTTTAAGAGAATGTTTTGTTTTGGTGTCGTGTTGTTCCATCCCCCTCTCAGTAATTAAATTTGAGATATCCTACTTTATTATCTTTTTGTATTTTGACTTAAAGCTGCAAGGCAGTCTGCTATAATTGTGTTGGTAGGAAAGATGAAAATAAGAACAATATCCTTGGAAATATCTTTTGATTTGGATATTTAACTTAATGTTTAACACAAAAATCTAATATGCTCTGATATTTCTTTATGAATTGTCAGAAAATCTCTGGTTTGTATGTAAAATTTAAACACCTGAATTAATCAAGAAGCTCATAAGCTTGGTTCATGTAAAAGAATTCAGAATAAAAGTAGTCTAAATTGTAGTTTAATGACTTTCAAGCTAGAGCCATTTTATCCTTTAAAAGTCCTTTTCTTTAAGACAGATTTTCTTTAAGACAAATTTCAGTATTTTCATATTACTTATCAACATTTTTTGTTTTATAATACAGGCTTTAGAAAATTGTGTGGTCTGTTTTTATGGAATCATCTGCTGGCAAACTCCATTTTCTTGGAGTTCAGCTGGCTACAGGAGCATCCTGTAGTCGGAGAAGTATGTAAGGTCTTGATAAAAAAAATAAAATAGGCTTTTTGGACTGTAAACTTTAAAGGAGATGTTTAGGCAAAGAAGTTTGTTAACTATGTGTATTTTTATTAATAGGAACAGTGGCAGCTGCGGCAGGCCTCCATCCTGGCCAGTGCATAATCAAAGTGAATGGAATTAATGTCAGCAAAGAGACTCATGCAAGTGTCATTGCTCATGTCACAGCGTGCAGGAAGTACAGGCGACCAATGCAGGTACATCTCACCCTTGCATGTTTTCTTCTAAGTTTCTTTTTTTGGTCAGAGTAAACAGTGTGATGTTTTAACTCTGTCCACATATCTGTTGTGTGGTGGGGTGAGGGGAAAGGAGTGGTGAATAAAACTGAAGGGAAGCCAGATGAAATATAAAAGCGGAAGATTGCTCAACGTATTGCTGATGTTCAAGGTCTGTTTAATTTCTGCACTGAAAGAAATCTAATCTTATAGATAATTTTTATATGGTATTTTTAAAGGATTATTTCAAGTATTTCTGCAGTCCTATGCAGAAAGCCTTATGAGATACATTCTTATCTTGATGGAGAGGAATCACACAGCTTGCTGCCTGCTCAGCAGCAGGAGAATGAAATGCAAAATGGTGATCTTATTCCAGAATTTTGTAACACTTCAGTGCATACGCCATCTATAAAGGTCTGATTTCCCATTGCATTCCAATCTTGGGAATAAACATACATTCAAGAACTCAAAGGTTCCTTTTTTTTTTTTTAAATATAAGTATGCAAATTTTATCTTTTTCATATTTGTTTAAGAGAAAATCTCAGGCTTCCAAGACACAAATTTAAGGAAGAGAAACAAAACCAGCTGGATTCTAGAATGTAGTTTTTCCAAGCCCCTGCAAATTTTTCCTAAACTGTCAACTAATATTGTTAATTAACTTCACAAACTCTTCCAATATGTATTTACTGAGGAGAAAAATCCAATTAAAATCAGGAGTGAAATCTTTTTCCCCCACCTACTGAATAGATATAAGAATTATATAGTTAGAACTGCATCATACAAATACAGTCTTTATGAAAATGTTGTCTGGATGTTTATGTTTAAATGCTAATATAGAATTGAAGTTGTTACGCAGCATATCAAGATCAAGTTCACCTATTCTTTAAAGAAAGATGCACTCTAGTAAGGAGGATATTTTGTGCACTAGTAGTAAAACTGGCTGGAATAAAAGAGAAATTCTTTATAGCAGTTGTGTTCTCTCTGAGTAACTGTAGACTTCCTTTGCATATTAGTGACATGAAAAGAGGATTGATTAATACTGGCTGGTGTGAATGCCCTGACATGAAGAATTACTTTGGTTTTTTTAATCCACTTGTATAATAACTTGGAATTTTTCCTATACAGAGTATTTATTTATTTATATCTTAAAAAGTAGCTGATCACAATTCAGCAGATCACAGATAACTGAAATTCTCCAGACTGACAAGAAAAACTTAAGTCAGGGCCTAGTGCTATCAAAAACTATTGGTGAACTGTCTAGACTGCAATAAATGTAGTATTCCCACTGGTGCCAAGACAGCTAAAATTTCATTTCCTTTTAATAAATTTAGGGTTTTTCTTTAATTATTTGGAAGATGATAATGGAATTCTCCTATTTTTTAAGTACAGTGCATTAGCCTGTCATTTAATTAACACAAAGATTGCATTCTCTCCTGAGGTTGCCAATTGCATAATTGAAAATGGGATCATTTTCTGTTTCTTGTATCTTCTACTTCTCAGGGTGAGGAGTCTTCCTGCTTGCCTGAAGCATGAAGTTTCATTTCAGATTCATGCTGTGTGAATAACTGTGTAACTTCTGTTGAACAATGTTTGTCTTCTTTCTGTCTCGTCTGGATAAAGAAAACTGAGAGCAGATTTTACTTCTTGGAATTAAAATTTCCTTGCAGTGATACTAACCATGATTTATACTTAGTTTGTTCCTCTGTGATGCTTTTGAAGAACATTGCTCCAAGTCATAATGCATTAGGTCATGTAAACTTTTGAAAGAAGGACTTCCAGTTTGAGTAGTGTAGTATTTTCTATTAGAGATTGGCATGGCCATCTCTAATATGCTGCCAAGCAAACCTGTAAGAATCATAACTAAGCAGCAAGCTTTCAGGGGTACTTGCAAAGAAGTGTGGGCTTCAGAACAGAAGTGTTCCTGTTGATCAGCTTCTGCACACGATCTTCCAACAGTACTCTGAAATTTAAGCTTTCTATTTAAAATATTTCAATGCCATTGAGTGAAAAGCAAGGCATGAATGAATCTAGGAAACCTAGAGAGAAACAGTACCGTAATAATACAAAAATTTAGTTGTCTGTGATTAATTGGATAAAGATAGCTGAATGTTGTATATTAGCAAAGAGTAATTGCATGTGTTTGAAACTTTTCATGAAGATTTTTAACATTCAACCTAAAGTTTTGCCATCCTTGCTTAACTTTGAATTCTTCTGAGAACTTCTTTTTGAAGTCTCTGAACTCAGATCTGTCATAATCGTGTCATTTATTCTACTGTAGCTGCTGGAGAGGGAGTGATTAACTGTCTGTCAAGGTTTTTTTTTGAAATCTAAGGGACAAAGAAGAGTAGCCTGGAGATGCCATACTTGATAGGCCCTTCCACAAGGGTGGGATGGACATGTGACTGAGTAACAGACTGGGGAGAACAAGATGTAAGGCATACACGTGGCTTCTTCATAGGTTGTATGAGCCACGTAAGCCACAATTCCTGTGCTTGCATGTCACTCAGCCACATGAGATGGTGGATTTCTGGAGCCTGTGATTCTGTTCTTTTTGGTGGGTTTGCTAATCTGGGGGGAAAATAAAAAACATCCCGGAAAATAAATGTAGTAAAGGCAATTACAAGTAATGAAGGCTGTAGTGTACGTTTTTTGTGCCAGTGAAACACGGGAAATAGATTAACTGGACATACTCTGTCATTAGTTGATATTCCATAATATTTTCCAGGAGATTCATGGATGTACAGCAGATTTAGCAAGGCAAAAAAATTGGTTCTTCTAATTTTTTTTCCCCACAATTTCTTGTCCTAAATATTTTTTCAGTCTGCCGTTTGATTTGAAATGTCTTAAATTATTTTTGTCAGAGGCACAAAACTGATGGATGTCATGCTATCACAAATTTCATAGTGCCTTATGATAGTAGACTCTGAAATAAAAAATAACTTGCCAAAATTCTGCGGATGGTGTTATACAATGCCAAAATTCACTGTAATTCTTAATTTTGTTTTCTTTAACTTAGACCTCAGAAGGCAGTAAAGCTGATAATAATCAGGGAATTAAAGCAACTCTTTCACGCTGAAATAGTTGCTATCAATTGCACTTGCAAAGCTTTTCCTAGCTGTCTTTTTTTGTCGTTATTTTTAGCAAGATTCTATACAGTGGGTTTACAACAGCATTGAAAGTGCACAGGAGGATCTTCAGAAAACAAACACTAAACCCTCTGGAGATGATGGAGGCGATGCCTTTGACTGCAAAGTGGAAGGTATGTGATGCTTGTTTGATTTTGTTGTTGCTCAGAATGTTGGTGGGGTAGCAAGGAAAATGCAGGCAGTGGGTTTGTTTTCTGAGAAGTAATTTTGAGCAGACTGTAAGATGTGTTTTGGATAAGGATTTTCTTTCTTACGTATTCTAAACACATAAATTTAACATGATGTTCTCTGAAAATTATTATCTTTCCCATTCAGAGAAAAACCTTCTGTGAACACTTTGGGGAAAATCTGTTCCATTTTCATTTGTAAAATACATAATCCTAGGAATTACCTGATTTGTTTTCACGACTAGTAGTCATTTATGGCAATATAGTCATTACTGCATGAGAAATAACAAAACAACTATCCTTCGGATTGTTTTCAGGCAATTAACATTTAGATAAAATTGCATTGTTATGCATCTTGGTAATTAAAGAGACAGTTAACATGTGAACTCTATTATGTTCTCTGCATAAATGCAGATATTGTGGTTTCATTTCTGAATATTGACACTTTTCATGGTAATTTTCTTCTAGTTTATTTAGAAATTCTAAGTTTTCCTTTTTTGGGGGGCTTTTTTAATGTTTCTAGATTATAAATGAAATTGAATTAGTCCCCTTCAGTAATTGTTTGTAAAGAGAATCTCCAGCCTGTTTTGCAGTCCAGTATTGCAGCACCTATAAACCTGCTGGTGTTCCGATTTTGAAATCATCCAGCTGGTAACCAGGTGTTTTGATGAATTTTTTTAAATAGAATGATCAGAACGTACCTGTTTCTAGAATGTTTGTCAGTGTCCATTTTAGTTTATTCAGTGACCAGCACTTGTTAAGTGATTTGTGTTTTTTTGTTTATTCTAGAGGTAATTGACAAATTTAACACCATGGCAATAATTGATGGGAAGAAAGATCATGTCAGTCTGACTGTTGACAATGTTCACTTGGAGTATGGAGTGGTTTATGAGTATGACAGCACAGCTGGAATAAAGTGCCATGTCTTGGAAAAAATGATTGAACCAAAGGGATTTTTTAGCTTGACTGCAAAGGTATGAAGCAATTGTTGTGTTTGTTAATTCTTGCTATGCTTAGTACCAATGGAGCAACATGTATCTTTTTTTTATTCTTAGGATTATGTGTATTTCATCTAATACCTTATAATTGTACACCTTAATCTCTCTGACAATTTGAAGGGAGTTACTTTTTACACCAACATCATAAGATTTGCTAAAGCTAGTCTAGTCAATGATTCAGATCAATGGCCTGAAATTCTTGTAATTGCAATTTCATATAAAATGTTATTATTATCATATAAAATGGTGTTATTTTTTAACTGCTTAAGAAATATTTTCCCCTTCTTATATATGAACTAGTTAAGTAAAGAGGTACTTCCAGCACACTGATTCTGGCCTTAAATAGTGCAGTGTCATCCCCTTTAGTGTTTAGACTGGCTATTTAAATACTTCAAAGTTATTACAAATAATAAGGAGAAATAATGTGGCAATTTTAGGGTGATATTAAGTTTGTATCAAGTGATAGTGATCTAAATGACTACAAAAGGTTCACTGGTAAAAAAATCAGGTCTCAACTCAAAAGACAATAACAGGAATTTTAGTGGTACTTATCCCATATAACTGTCTGCTAATAGTTTGAAATGCTCTAAACATAAACTTCTCTGTGTTCAGTGTGGTCTTATGCTTTTCTCCGTATGCATCTTTTTTTTCTGTGTATTTATTATTGCTTTGCATTTTTAAACAACTGTATTCTGCATCAGATAGAGTAGGGGAGTGAATTAATTCTGGGCTGCTTTCCTATACTGTGCAAATCTGTGTTAACTCTTAAGATGAGAAACTATCCAAAGTTTTGCAGCAGAATGCAACTGTTCGAAAGTACAGCTGCGAAAAAACTCCACTTAAATTATTTAAATTGGTATTATTAATTAAATCTGACATAAAGGAAGCTTAAAAGCGTGACCAAAGTGATTGGAGTGTTTTAATACAGTAACTAAACATGATAACAGAAGAGTTAAAGGCTTTCCTTAATTCACCTGGTGGGGACCTGAGAAAAAAATTCTTTCAAAACTAGTCATTTATAATCTCTAACTTCTTGAAAACTTCAGATTTTGCACTCTGAAATTTCTGTATTTTTTTTCTATTGTGAAGCTTATAAATCATATCTTTTGTCTTTGATGGTGAATAGTGTAATAATGAGCTGTAGCAGAATTGAACAATAGACAGGGCACATGGTGTGACTCCTGGGAATGGTCCTGTGCAGGGCCAGGAGTTGGACTTGATGATCCTTGTGGATCCCTTCCAGCTCGGCATATTCTGTGATAAATCCCATGATGGATTAGTACTGTATGTGTTGTTTGCTTGGTTTTCTTTAAGCATCTCTAAAATTTTGTGAGCCTTTTCTTATTTACATGCCTTACCTCAATTTGGATTTTGTGTCCTGTTGTTAACAATTTATTTTGGGTGTGTTTTTTGAACACATCTCCAGAGTTGGACACAACCAGCAATAGGCACCTTCCAAGTTCCATAGCCCAGTGAATTTCAATGCCTGAAATGCAACTCTAACTTAATAAAAAAGGACTATATACTACCCTCATCTCTTCAACGTGCCTTTTGTTTAGTTTTCTCTCACCATCATTTGCTGATGCGATCTCCCTCATGGCAAGACTTCAGTCTTTGCTAGGCAGTACAGCTTATTCTGTGCCTTATTTCGTTGTTTTGTGTGCAGAATAAATGAGGGGATAACTCAGTTTTCTTGTATGCTTTTTCAGTGTACTAGGATTGCTTATCCTGCCAGACTGAAGCTTTGCTACAAGTAAAGAATTAATTAATCAGCTTTACATAATATGTGCTGATCAAGTAAATACAGCAGATAATGCATTTCAGAGGAGCCATAGTAGTTACATTAGGAGGAAATTAGTAGCAAATCCATTATCAGACAATGTCATGAGAAGCCAAATAGAAGTACTTATGGCTATAACTTTGCAGGATTTAAAGAAACCTCTTTGCTTCCCAAGTTTAATTTATTGTTGTTATGCACCATTGCCTGTAATGTTAAAAGGCAGCTGATTATCAGGCTTTTCAGCTTTAGTTGTAAGAGATGATTAGTAAGGGGTTAAGTAAGGGAAATTTTAGTCAACTTAATTTCTTAATGTACTGCTTTTGTTTTTATTATCGTAGATTCTTGAAGCACTGGCAAAAAGTGATGAACATTTTGTGCAGAATTGCAACAGCCTCAGTTCCTTAAATGAAGTGATCCCCACCGAGCTTCAAAGTAAATTCAGTGTCATTTGCAGTGAGAAAATTGAGCATATTTACAGAAGAATCTCTAGTTATAAAAAGGTATGACCGGCATGTCCTTAGTTTGAAGGGACAGGGGGAATGTGGTACAGTTTGAATAACTCTTCAAAATGCCTATTGCAGTGGCAAAAAATGTGGCTGAAAGTTTAGCTATTTTGAGGTGTGAACGCCTTAACTGACTGATTGCTTCAATTGTTTTCAGACCATGCTCTTTATTGTCCCTTTTCTAGACACTGTTTAGTTTGTATCTTTTCCTGTTTGCTGTGTTCAGTTGTAGATGCAATCAATTGCATGTTTCCACAATAGGCCCATCATTCTTGTACATGTCTTAAACCAATACTCCAGTGAATTTGCAGATGTTAACCAAAAATGAAGCAATAACAGAATTGTTTATTTCCTTCTAGTGTATCTTAGTTTGAAATACCAAATTGTTACCTTTTTATTCATCTTTTTTGCCCTTCAAATTAGTGTGACTTTTTGCAGCATGACTGTTAATAGTAACATCTCTGTAAATTATTAGATTGACTTGGGTTAAAAAAGCATTATAGCATGGAAAAATGGAGAGGGTGCTGACTTTCATATGCTTGAGATCTAAATTAATGATATATGAATGAATAAATAACCCAGACTACAACCTCTAGTTGCTGCCACTGTATTTCTCTGTAGTTCTTTAACCAAGTAGGGCATAAATGAATAAACCATTTGCCATTTTGTTAGTGCGAACTTATTTTCTCATCCAGGCTCCTAGTTCCTCTCTCAAATAATCTAATTTGGGGAGTGTGTTATTATTTTGAAGTAGATTCAAAATGGCTCCAAAGAATTGTCTGTGCCCAGTCTTAGTTCAGTTGGAGATCTGAGTTGTGACATTTACAAACTAGTCTGTTCTAAGAGGCAATACACAAAAAATTGAAAAGAAAAAGGGAAAGGAAAAGCAGGTTGAATATAGAAGCTTCACACATTTCTAAAAGTTACGTGGAGAAGAGTGGATAATGTGTTCTTATTTTTCAAAGGAAAAGTAGGGAGAACTGTTAGGAATATCTATAGCTTCGGCAGGATGGTGGCCAAAAAGCACCTTGTCAAAGACCTTTTAGGGTGCTCTCTGACAAGGAATGGAACAAGCTGAGTTGAGATAATGGACACATTGAAAGGATTCTGATACTGCACTAGCAAACATCCAGTCTCTCTGTTGTTTGCCTGAATTACAAACCTGCATGTTTCCAAATTGGTTAAAAATCAAAATGTCTTTTTTAAAAACTAAATTCATTAGTTTTAACATTAAGAATTAGAGTTGAAGTAACATGTAGGCGGTTTATACATTTTCTGTAGCTAAAAAAGTTGACTGTGATTTACGGTCTCAATACAGGAGGCCAAGACAGTAAATGAAATTTTGTTGTGTTTGCTGGATGTGAAATAAACAGCCTCGGGGAAGTTTATGTAGTTCTTATACTGTCTAGAAGCAGATACTGCTGATAGAAACTGCACTTTCAAGCTCATCTACTCAAAAATCAGTCGTTTCACAGTTATAGCTTTTAATGACAATTAGTAATGCAGTGAATTTCAGGAATAGATACGTCGTGTTCTTGGCAAGGTAAAGGTAACCATAGTTACAGGAGAGTTTCGGAGGGCCTGAGCCCAGCTTGGCTCTTGGTTTCACTGTGAAAGTTCGAATTATATAAATAGAAGCCTTGTAGATTTCTGCAGTCCCTACTATTATTATTATCAGAACATTTTGCTCCTAATAGACCTCCTAATAGACCAGTGCCATGAGTCCCAGATGTTTCTCAACACATATATGAAAAGAATTTTGGTCGTGACTTATGACCTGATTAAATCATAGCCAGGCATTTGGTCTCTCTGGAGCAGGATGTGTGGGAGATTGAGATGTGAAATATGTACTGCTTGCAGAAACATTTTCATCATTGAATGTCCTTAGTGCCCTTCTTAACAATTTGTACATTCTTCGGCCTTTGGACAATTCCATAATTGGATTTCTTGTAACTTCCCAGATCTTGTTGTGATCTAAGATTTAAATGTAATTAACCCATCAAATGTTCATCAGGCTGAAGTAATATGGCACCAAATTAAACAGAAATTTAAGTCCCGGCACAAGAAAGTGTTACCTCAGAGAAAGGATGTGCCTTTGTTCAGCTGAACTGAATTTGTACTGACATTTATTAATGAAGAAACTTTGCAAGTTAACTTTGAAAATATTCTTATGGTCTGTAGCTGAGGTAGGTCTGTGTAATATTTTGACTGGAGAGATACTGTGATTAAAATACCGGAGACTTGGAACTGACTACATGTTGCCAGAAAAAAACTCTGTCCTAGCAAAAAAACTGCTCTGAAAAGGACACATGACAAAAATTTCTGTTTGTGACTGGCAAGGCTCTTTGCCAATGGAAGAGCTTGATCTCATGACTTTTATGATTCTTAAGTAGGTGTGTTTTCTGAGGGTCCAAATTTAGTACAGTTCAATCTTCACCATTTTGGGTTGACATATTTTCATCTTAAAAACCAAAAAACTCTAAGCCTATCCAGGACTCTGCACAAAATTTCAGATGTTAGAGTGAAGGAGATGTGGCTAAGCACTGTATTAAAATTAGGTGAGAAAACAGAGGGGGAAAAACCCCATCCTTCATTTCTGAGCTGATATATGGCAGGTATAAGAGGTAGTAGACTAGGAAAGTCTGTAAAATGTGATGCTTGCAGTTTTTATGTATTAGTGTTTATCAACTTCCTAGAAACACTCAAAATAGAAGAATGATTGAGGTTGGAAAAGACCTCTAGAGGTCTTTTAAAGGACTTCATCCTTCCTGAATATGAAATAGTTTCCAATTCTCTCTTGTTTTGCAAGACATTGACATCTATATCAACAGGTGTTTATAAATGTCACATGCAGTAGACCATGAAGCGTGGATCATAAAGCATGGATCATAAAGCAGTACCAGACTTTCTCTCCAGAAAGATACTTAGTTTTTAATTATGTTCCATGGGAAATAAAGTATATTGCTTTGTTACATTGCTATTTACATTTTAAAATATAATTTACCTCAAAAAACAACCCCTTAAAAGTATAAAATGAAAAATATTTTTCTTTCCTTTCTAGAGAAAGCCAGAAATCATGAAGTCAACACACCTTAATTCAAGGATGGATGAAATATTTTAAGCTTTTGTTTTCTAGTCAGGTACATGAATATTGTCAGCCAAGTGCTGACACATAAAGGGCTACTAATCAAAATTTGGTTTCTTTCTCACTTCTAGTTTTCAAGAGTATTAAAAAACAGAGCTTGGCCTACCTTCAAACAAGCTAAGTCAAAGATTTCACCACTTCACAGCAGTGATTTCTGTCCAACCAATTGCCATATCAATGTGATGGAAGTGTCTTACCCTAAGACCTCAACTTCCCTTGGTAGTGCCTTTGGTGTACAGTTAGACAGCAGAAAACATTCTTCCCATGAAAAGGAAAATAAAAACACTGATCAAGGTAAGTCAGTTGAGCTTGTAAGAACTACTTCCAGTGCTTCTGATTTATAGTCTTAAAAGGTAATTGATTCAGGTTTATGGCCCAAGTAGGAAAATTAAGGATGAGCTTTTGTGAAATCACTCTGCTTTTGAAACCTAGGTTTATTTTAAAGCATAATAAAGGCTAGTCATAATTTTGCAATAACTTTTTCCTAAATAGCTTGACTTTGATATGCAAATAAAATACAAAATTGAATAATTCATGAAGTTTTAAGCAGTAAAATATTTTAATATCTGATAGGTGTTTTACTAGCTTTAAAATGTATTTTGAAAAAAAAAAAGATGACGTCATCTTTTTTATTATTCCCAGGTAAACTGAATCCCATGATTTATGTCCAGCATACCATTACTACTATGGCTGCCCCTTCAGGACAGTCTCTTGGCCAGCAAGAGGGCCACGGTCTGAGGTACCTCTTAAAAGAAGAGGATTTAGAAACACAAGATGTCTATCAAAAATTGCTATTGAAATTACAAGCTGCACTGAAAGAGGTGGAAACATGTGTCTGTCAAATAGATGAGTAAGTAAATGTTAACATCTGGACTTGCCTTTGATTTTTCCGTTGAAGATAAATCTGCATATTGTTTTTGTATAGTGTAGGAATCAATGTTGACTTCAGATGGAACTGAAATAAGATAGGACACTTTGCTTCAATGTGGGAGACTCAGTCTCATCACAGTCTGTCCTAATGCAATGCAACTGTCAGAAATTATTAATTTTTAAAATATAAATAACATAAATTTTTGAGTTTAAAAGGCAATCTTTCATGATCTCCAGTTTAGAAAAATAGTGTGTCATTGTTTCTCATGTTATCTTGAAGACTGTAGAGTGATTTTGTAATGTCTTACATACTGCAATGGGAATGAAAGCAAGAGTTGCCTCAGTATTTTTAAGCTGATTATCATGCTGAAGATAAAGTCAGTTACTTAAATTCACAGTAATTTCAGTGCTCGAGTGCACTTAAAAATGACTGTCTGTAAAGGCTATGTTGTTACTCTTCCTCAAGGAAGTCAGAGAAGCGTTTATGGAAGTTTAGTCAGTATTTCAGGAAGTTCCATTTGTAGTCTGCCACACCTTTCCTTTTGATTCCCTTGAGCCTGTGATGCAAAAGCACAGGAAATTCTGAGCCTTTCTTTCATATGTATGTATATATAAATACACACACGTATATTTATGCATTGTGTGTACAGAAATATATATATGTATCTATGCATATATTCATTTGGAAAGTCATACAGTTATGACAGTAAACATGAGGGTTCCCTTCTTTTTCTTTCCTAAATTTCCTGTATGCTGACCTAGTAGCAGGTCTTATATAAGGTGCACAGATTTATTTAGCAGATTTTACTTTTGGCTGTTTTAAAAACTGTTACTTTTCATGCTTTATTCCTCATGGACTTTGAGTGGAGTGCCAGTGTTTAATTACTGTGGAGAAAAGCTGTTCTATACACAAAACAGAATAGCCAAGGGACCTACTTAAAAGTGCTGAACAGGGAAGAGGGAAACTGGGACTATTTGGGTGAGAGCAGTTCAGAAGTACATGGTATATTATATTACAACACAGTTAGAGCTACTACTTAACTCTTGAGAGAAAAATTAGGACTACTAAAAAAAAATATAGAGTAATAAGATAGGATAATCAAACAGTTCTGCCTTAATTAGAAATATTTGTACTTGCAAGAGCTAGGAGGAAATGCTTGCTTGAGTGTTTTATAAAGACTAGTAGAACTTCTGTTTTCTGTTATGACATAACAACAATGAAATTGATGTCTTTCTTTGCAGAATTGCTTATTATTATAAGGAGGATTGCAATAAGCAATTTTCTCAAGACAAAATAGGAACATGGTATCACAATTCTTAATTTATATGATATTATAGAAACATTGGACTACTAAATGACTATCTTACAAATTAAGAAAAAACAAAAGAAACAAAGAAAAGTATGTTCAATAATGATAATTGGGAAGAGGTTGCATTCAAATTTGGGGTTGTGTGTTTTAAAATCCCGGAATTTCTAAGAGCACTTCACTGAGCTCAAGAACTACCAGCTCCTGAACTCTGTTATCCCAAGTTCCAGCTTTCGTTCATGGTAGTTCAGCAAAAATTTTTTCCTTAGAAAAAGTGCCTGCCTGCTGAGAGAAAGGGAAATGCTCCCTTAGGAAAAGCTCCAGCTACCTTAATCAGTCTTTTACTGAGCTCTTGGCAGAAGTGACTAAACAGTCACATAAAAGAAAAGGATATAATAGTCTGCCTGTGTCTTGACAAATAATTACTCAGGAGAAGATATTTTCAGGAGCTGAAATTGCAGTTGATTATGCTTGTTTCTTGCTCTTGATTATTTTCTTGCAACAGCAAAATCCAGAAGAAGTTACCAGAATGAATCTGTCCAAAGCCTATTTTTAATAATTGAAATGGATGATAACAGGAACGCAAGAACAAGCTAAAGTATAGATTAATCCTTGTCCTTATCTCCTCTTATCTTTCAGCAGGCAGGACTACATGGTGTTCTTGAAATGAACCTTTTGGTTTAAGAGCACTGTTAAAATCATCTACCAAGAATTTTTTCCAATTCCTCTTTGAACCCCTTTTATATTTTTGTATTCAGAAAATAAATTTTACAGGTATGAAGAACTGATTTCTTAAGGTTTACGCTTTCGTAACACATTTATTTTAGGACAAGTTCAAGAGCACACATGCTCTTAATGACTGATGGACACTGAATACTGATGTAAAATACAAGCCCCATCTATCTTCCCTTCCTTATGGAATCCTCCTAACCAGTGTCTTAAGTGATTGGAACTGAGTTGTGATTTCACACTGATATGAAGTGTTAAGGCATCATGTAGCACAAAAGATGTCAGTCTAGTGGATGGGTGGGTTTCAAGTCCAGTGAAACTAAAAATTTACTATAATTTTTCTATATTTTAGATACAGTTCAGTTCAGTATCTTTGCCTATAAATGGGCTAAATATCTGTCTGTTGCCTTCAGAAGTAAGAATTACATGTAACAAAAAGATCTAACATAAGTTTGAATCTTACTGTGTATTTGATAGGAAGTTTGCCAGCTGACCACTCTGACAGCTCATTCAATATAACCTTGCTACCATGTCTAAGTAAAAAAGCTTAATTCAGTGTCTTCTTATTTCAGGTAGTTAGAAGGTAGTTTTTGCAAGAAATACGGTGCTTTTCAAAAGTCATTCTAATGGAGTGTTTGAGCAATACAAATTAAAGGACAATTGCCCATTATAGCTGTTCTGATCTTGAAAGTAAATTAGAACATCTTGGTATTAGTTAATCACCCAATAATATGAATTTTTTGCTTCC